ATAGATTTTGTTTTCTTGGATTGTGTTAAGAAGCTTATTAGCTCATCTAAGGACAAGTTCTTGGGAGTTTGGGATCTTGAGACCCAACACTGTATGCAAATAGTTATCGGCCATCATAGTTGTGAAAGTCTGGCCCATTGATTCTGATGCAGAGGAGAGATTTGTTGTTACTGATTCGTTATTTTTATCTTTCGTTCTTCAGTTTTGTCTCAAAACTTGCTTCTCTGTTCTCCTTTCTTTTATCATCTCCTGTTTTACGTGCCTTTGTTTTCTGGAATTGCTTAATCTTTTGATCAAATACATATATTTTGTGTTTGTTAAACTGCAGGCGACCCAAGCAACTCCCTGTTTCAAATGTTTAGTTCCATGAAGATGAACGACGATGTACTTGCTCTTGCTATCTGCCCTGATGCTAAACATATTGCAGTTGCACTTCTTGATTCCACAGTGAAGGTATATTTATTTGTTTGTAATGGGTCTATTTAAACGGGAAAACATTAATTTAAAACCACATTATGAAAGTGATGCTTTAACCACATACCTATCTATCTTGTACCGTGTTTCTTAGCTTATGTCAACAACAGCATCACTGTTCCGTTATTTTTCTTGATCACACATTTTCTGTATGTCGTATTTTGGGAAGTATAAGTCCTTAGGAAATTCATTTGATTTCAGTTTGGTGTTTGGGGGTCTTTAGTGATATATCTATTACTAATAAAAGTTGATGCTAAATGCCTCTAAATGATTTAATTATATTGGTATACATCATCATCTATAATTAATAATATACTGTATATTACATTAATTAATTTCGCTTTTTTATTTTTAAAAGGAAAATTTTCAAATTTTAATTAATTTTGTTTTTATTGTTATTAGGAAATTTTCTAAATTTTAAATTAATTATTAATAAAAAAGGTTAGAAAATAGATCTTATTTTTCTATTTACAACAAAAAGTAATTTAACATATAAATAGATTATTAAGGAAAAATCATATGTATTAAACAAAATAATTAAAAAATCTATTTAAAACCATTATTAAACTATTTCAAAATTTTAATTATGATAAACAATTATAATCTGACCTACTAACTTAAAATATATTAGTTATACTCCATGTTGATGTTTTATACTGATGAAAGCGTCCACATATAATATAGAAACTCAATTTGATTGGTCAAAATCAACGTTTTTTTATTAAACATAAAAAATATTAAATATGATTAACAATTTAAATAAATTAAAAACACAAAAATATAAATTATCATAGTATAATGGGAAATTAATATAAATTATCATATATATTTTAAATGAGTAATTAATTTAACAAAAATATTAAAGTTAAATTGTTATATAAACATATAAAATTGTTATTTAAAACTATCAATACTACAAAAACAAATTTATAATAAATTAACAAAAAAAAGTCATCAAAAATTTTGATATATAGCCTAATTATTTAGAAAATCAACACAAAAAAGCTTAACTAATCAAAAAATTATATTTTATACTACTTACTGCAGATAAAAACATTTAACTAACAAAAAACAAAACAAAAATTATTTTTTACACTATGTCAATACAATTAAAATTAAAATTCATATCAAAAAGATTAAATTAAGAAAGAAAAAAGGAAAATTAACTAGATATCTATGCTATTTATTTAACAAAATCAATATAAAGAAAATTAGTAAAAGAATAAAAAAACTTAAGTCATACTAAAAAACTTAACTAACAAAAAGAAGATAAATATTTAGGCTACTTATTTAAAAATCAGTATTAAGAAATTAATTAATCAATAAATAAAACAAAAATTAATTTTTACAAAATTTATATTAAAAATATTTATCTAAAAAGAAATTGACTTGATATATGACTAACTACTTAAGAAATCAATATAAACAAATTTAACTAGCAAAATAACGGAAAATGAAATTATGTCTTCAAAAATGTCAATATTTTGTGTTGAAATAAAATAGAAATCAGTATCAAGAGAGGTAAATTATCAAAGGCAAAATCGTATAAAGTAAAATTAGCTTGATATTTAGGCTAATATTTTGGAAAATCAACATAAAAATATGAACTAAAAAAACAATGATGGTATAAACTTTTGAGATAAGTCTACATAAAGTTTGGAATATCGAGTTATAGCATGTCAAAACAACATTATAATTAAAACTAAAATTTAACAAAAAAACACTTACGTAAAAAAAATTAAATTAATATATATGCTACCTATTTGGAAAATCAATAACAAAATAGCTTAATTAAAAAAAAATATATATATATGTTTTAAGTATATCAAACATACAAAAAATATATAAATTAATATAAAATATAAAATTACTATTAAAAGATATGTAAAATAACAAACAAACAAAATCTAAAAAGAAAATTAGTTTGAAATTTAGTTCCAAAAAATTTATGATTTCTAAAATATTGTTACTCACTATGAATAACCATATAAAATTACAGTATCTTATACAAGTTTTTAAATCAAATATATTATTTAAATTTACAAAGACTAATACTTTGGCTACATTTGATTTAAAAACTAACAAAAAAATACAACACAAGTAACTCTACATTCGAAATCATATATATAATTAGAAAGTTATCTCTCCATCTAAAGTGTTCACATCAGCAAAAATTTAATTTTAAAATGGATTTTAAATATTTTGGGTTTTGTTTTTAAAATTTGGGTGTTTATTTTTGGGCTTTTAATGTGATTAATTGAAATTAGAAACAAATACTTATTTTACAAATCATAAAAATTACAAATTCTTAATTTGTGAAAATGAGTTTGGAAGGCAACCAAATATAAAAGATTACAGAAAATAATTACCAAACTTTATAAAAAAAAATATTAAAAAGATTATATATAAAGCTAAAGTAGCTGTCAAAAACAAAAAGCTAAAGTAAATTCATCATATAAAACAAATACTTAATTTACAAATTATAAAAACTACAAATTCTATTTGAAATAAAAAAATTCAAAATGTTATTTTGAAAATCAACAATCTATCAAGTAAGCATAATTTTTTGATATAAAACCCTTCAAACATGTAATAATTAAAATTCTCCTTATTTAGAGTTATAACTGATCATATAACTGAATGAGATGGACGCTTGCATACAATAAGAGAAAAAAACCAGTAGATTGCAATCAGAATAGCAAGACTAAGAGCTATAAGAAAGAGGAAAAATAAATAAAGAATTAATTATGCTTTAAAATGAGTCAGCTTTTTTGAAAATCGATAAAAAATTATGGGAACATTTAGTTTAGAGTGGAAAAGGATCGATGATGATTTCATTTTGTTGATCTATAAAAATAAGATGTAGGAAAAGATGAGAAATCAATTGAATACAAACAAACAAGAAGAACACATATAATACTCATTGCAGTGTGTAAATAAATAAAATATTTTTGTAATAATTAATACATCATAATTTCTATTAGAAAAATGTTATTACAATATATATATTAGGACAACAAAAACACTTAAAATAAAAGACAAATATAGCACATAATTTTATTAATTTAATATATATATAATAGTAATATAAATATATATATTTTAATTAAATTAATAAATAAGTCTGTGCAACGCACTGATTAAATTCTAGTATAACAAGTAATAAAGTCTGATTTTTTATATATAGCTACTACTTATAACTTAGCCAACATGAACAACACATGAGTAACACTTTCTAAAATTTTATTTAAATAATAATGTATGACAATGTTATGAATCAAATTCAAATTGGAATATATCTAGATAAACTATTCAAATTAAAACATGAATAAAACACACAAAAAAAATAAAAACAGTGAAAAATAATGTGAAGACTCCACACTATCTTACATGTTTTAAAAAAAAATTATCTAATAGTTAACTGCAAATAAAACAGATTTTATAAATTAAATAGAGATATAACATAAACTTCATAGAAGATCAGATGGAGAAGCAGAAGAAGCTTTACACAATTATTGTAGCATCCTAACAAAAGTAAATCTGAATCAACATGAATCATATATTATGTATGCATAGTTACACAACATCAGTTAGATATTTAATCAATAACTAAATATTTGAACATATAAAATCTTAAAAAAGAACAACTATAGAAATCCTAAGGATACAAAACAAAATACTAAAAGTTTAGTTTTTTTTTTTGTGCGAAACCAAAAGTTTAGTAAGAAAATTATTTTCTAAATCAAATATATGTACGCCGAAGTTGAATAATTGTTAGGTGTCATTACTATGATTAGACTTAATAAGATTTTAAAATTTCTAAGCAAAAATAGGAAAAACTACAGATTATGTTTTAAAAAATTTATATAAAAGAAAATTTCTATAAATATAATATAGTTTTTATAATTTAAAAGATATGAACCAAAAAAAAAGAATTAAATTAAATCATTAATACAAACTCGCGCATAGCGCGAATTAAAAACCTAGTATAATGAATAATTAATCACTAATCTTCTTAATCAGGGAACTTATGTTCAAATTTCAATAGTTTTCTCATCATGTTCTCCGATAGTTTAACTCTATCTTTCTACCTGCTTCTTGTAAGTTTGGATGTAATATGCTTCTCTTGTTGTGTTATATTTTAAATAAACTAAAAAGAATTGATTATGGTTTGCGTGGCAAAGTCATTCAAATAAACTAAGTGGAAACTCTTTTGGTCCCAGAGTTGGTAATTTGTTTGATAAAGTCAACTATTAGCCTGTTTAACATAATCTTTAATTCATATATTATGATAGATATCTCTATACACACATACACAGTCTAAAGTAAACCTACAGTTTCGTAGAAGTCTGGTTGTATAAAATATGATATTCTTTTGTCAGTTTTCTGTTTAACCCACTTGAGAGAGTTTTCTGGACAAGGTCACAAGGTTGTTGAACTGGTGAGGTTTTGGTTTCTTGCTGTTCGTTTCTTGAAGCAGGTTTTGATTGTTTGACATTTTAGAATGAGACGCTCAACAAAATCAAGTGAATTTTTCCTTTGTCCACCAAACTTGGAGTAGCTGGCTCATGGCCTCTCTTCATAAATACTTTGAAAATCTCATCTCTTCATTGATCTGATAGCTATAGTCTTACTTTTTTACTTGTTTCATATTCAAAGTTTGTATCTTTTGTCAGGAAATCTCTAAAACTGTTGATCATAAAAACAGAGAGATTACATGCTGTGTGTGTTTAGAAGGAAGCTCCGTTGCCTTTTCTCAAGACTTCGATGGGTCATCAAGAAACGGGTTAGGGCCAGAGTTATCATCAGGAGGTTCAGGAGGAGAGCTCGAGGAAAAGAGAGCCATGAAACCGAAGTTTCTTCTATCAATCTGAGCTCAAACTCCACGAGACAAATTCGGGTTGCAACGTTTAACGTGGCAATGTTCTCACTTGCCCCTGTAGTGCAAAACATGGAGGAAACAACTTTGCTTGATCATATTGATGGCAGAAACATTCTAAGTCCATCTCCGAAAGGGATTCTGAAGCTGTCTCCGTTACATCCTTCTGCAGTCAAGAAACCAAAGGTCTGTATTAATCTCCCCGAAAATGAGATCTCTTTAGCACAGAGCTACAGCTTTCTTAGCATGGTAGAGAATGATAAGGAAAACAGAGGAAGTATCTCGATGAGGTCTCCCGTGTGTCTTCCCTCTTGTTGGTGGGATCAAGAGAGCTTTAATGGATACAGCAGCGGGAGAAGCATAGCTGAGTTGCTAGGAGAGTTGGATGCAGACATCTTGGCTTTGCAAGACGTGAAAGCAGAGGAAGAGAAACTCATGAAGCCATTATCAGGTTTGGCTTCTGCTTTAGGTATGAAGTACGTTTTTGCAGAAAGCTGGGCTCCTGAGTATGGCAATGCAATACTCTCGAAATGGCCCATTAAGAAATGGAGAGTCCAGAGAATCGCTGATGCAGATGATTTCAGGTATTGGTTTTAACTGCAAGATTCATTTTGTTAGAGTTAAGTAGTTCATTTCTGTTTTCCAAGTCTTAACTTTTGCTCCAAGTTTGAAGAAACTTGAATCAAATTCAGGTTATAGACGCTATAAGAAGATGCGATGTGTTTGTTCTATGTTCTGAAACATAGGTTTTGTTGCGTGTGGTCAAAGGTTTCTTTGTGTGTAGGAATGTCTTGAAGGTGACTATAGAGGTCCCAAGGGCAGGAGAAGTAAACGTGTATTGTACGCAACTGGATCATCTAGATGAGAACTGGCGGATGAAGCAAATCGATGCAATTACTCGAGGAGATGAGTCTCCTCACATTTTGTTGGGAGGCTTGAATTCTCTTGATGGATCTGATTATTCAATATCAAGATGGAACCACATCGTAAAGGTTTAAAAGATTCATAAGATACAATCATCATTATATAAGATCTTTAGATCGGTCATAACTTAGTTATTTTTTTTCATAAATAAACCAAAAACAGTATTACGAGGATTCTGGAAAGCCAACGCCTAGAGTTGAAGTGTTGAGATTTCTCAAGGGAAAAGGATATTCAGATTCAAAAGAATTTGCAGGAGAATGTGAACCTGTAGTCATTATTGCTAAAGGCCAAAGTCAGTTTCTGCGTTACTTTTTAACTTCCAAAGTTTAATTCTTCCATTACTATATCAAATCATATACATCATGTGATGCAGATGTACAAGGGACATGCAAGTATGGGACACGTGTCGACTACATTCTTGCATCACCAGACTCACCTTACGAATTTGTGCCAGGCTCGTATTCAGTTGTTTCTTCCAAAGGTACTTCTGATCATCACATAGTGAAAGTCGACTTAGTTATAACCAAAGATCGGTGTCGAGGTAGCTTCAAAGATTCTCGCAAGAAAGCAAAGCAGAAGATCACCAGGATAAAATCTAATTTGATGCCGGAAAGATACATGTAAATAAAAAAAAATCCAATGTCTTTATAATGTTTGGCCATATAACTTCTTGTTTATATGAATTAACGTTTTATTCTAAAGTATTAACAATAGCAATGGTTTTCTTTTAAAATGGGCAAAGATCACAACAATTTCGAAACAACAGAACTCATCTCAGACAGAGACAGAGTTCTTTTTCTTGGTCTCCTCCTCCTCCTCCTCATGAATAGCTGGAGCATACCCGAGTCCACACCGTTTACACGGAAATATAGCGAAGATAGCGGCCGAGGCAACGCCTACGGCCGGAGGCAAAGCCATGACCAAAGTCTTTTGCGTTTCCCTAAACTTGGGATAAAAGCAGCTCGCGGTATTAGCGTCAAGCAGCACCAGTGTCCCAAACACAGCCGCCACGAAAACCGCGTGGACGAAATCAGCAATCCCAAGCTTGTACTTGGACAAGTCCACGGATCCTGGTTCAGCGTAAGTCCAAAGACCTTTCTTGGTGACTATACCGAACTTTCTTGATCCGTCTGTGCCTTTGAAACTATCGGTGAAGCATGAGAACACGCAGGAGAAGCTGCAAAGAGCGACGAGAATGCTTGACATGACCTTGTTGGCTGTAGTGCATTCACCGTCATTGGTGAGGACAGGGTTGAGTAAAAGGTAGATGAAGAGTATTCCTGTTGGAAGAAGCTTTATGAGACTCTCGAGGCCTGTGAGGGATTTGTTTGCCATTGTTTCTGATGAAACTGGAGGGTTTGTTTTGGGTATGAGCAAAGGAGAAGATTCGGACATAGGATGATTGAATCTCGAGTTAGATGTATAAAATATAAAGTGTGTTCTTGGTTTAATGCGTATTTATAGAAGAATTAGGGATGATACATCTAATTGTTGGGTTTAACACCGTAGAAAAATATGGTAGTGAACTTGACCTAGTCAAATTATTACGTTTGTTTTTTAAGTATACACACAAAGACGCAATAATGCTCGAAAAATAGTTGATTATTCTTTCCTCCTTAAGAAAACTAGAAACATAAGTATTTAAGTTTTGGACCTAAAAGGAGAAGAAATTTCTAATGTTGAAAGACGTTTGGTTATGATATATCTTGACTGAATCTAAATAGAAGTTTCATTTGTGTCCGGAACTTTTGTTAGACTATTGGGTTATAACTTGAGGTCGACATAACACGTTTGCAAAAGGATACAACGAGTTTGATCGTCTTTTTTGTTTTCGTGTGTTAAAAAAAAAAAGATGTTTAAAATGCTCCATTTACATTCAAGTAAGACGCGACATTTTACTTTTATGCCATCAAACATAATTTATAAACATGAAACGCAATTTGATTTAAAATGAGCTTGATTGTTTTTTTTGTGTGTGCTTGATTTTTTTTTCGTTTGCGTTCAATTTTTGTTTATATGTTAAAATAATGTGTTTATTTTTATATGAAAGTGCTAAGAGAAATTTTAATGCGTTCTGTAAATAATATTTGACATAGAGTACATCAAACTTTCGGTTTTTTAACAAAACACAAACGGGAAATGAAAATGAAAAGACAAATTTCAGTGCGTTTGTTGTTTACTTAATTTAAAGACATCATACTTGTTTTAAGAAATATAAAAATACTATTTTTGCATGTTGCACATGCAAATATATGCGTTACAATCAAATATTATACCATTTGAGTTTAGATGTAAACATGCTTTAATTTACATTGAAAAACATAACATTATTAGTTAATTTCTTTTTATTACACCACACGAAAGAAACGTAAAAATAAGTAAAATATTACCGTTTGATTTTATGTTTGCGTTTAGCTGTCAAAATGGATTATTTTTACAACATACATTTTTAAATATAACAATTAAACGCATTTTTGCCTTTGAAAAGATGAATTAATCAAACTCCTAATTAACACATACTGTATGTGACATACACAAGATAGAATCAACACCTCATTCGTTTTACTTGTGTAAATTGAACTTAACCTGAAATTTGCGATGAACCAACAAATGGAGTATCTCGTCATGCATGCTCACCTTGTATTTATTTCGGGTAAATAAGAAATCATAATTGGCTGCTTCTACAGCGACTTTTATTTTTGCTTTATACATTTTAAACTTAAATTGGCTATTGGCTAATAATTTTCTTATACTTAAATTGCATGGAGGTATGGGTGACCAGGGTGAGTGCATATTCTTTCTTGACTTTTTACGTAACTAATTAGGAAACACAGTTTAATATTGTAAGAGAAATTCATAATAATATTTGAAGGTCTATTAGTGATGGAGCAGCCTCTAAGACGATGGACCCATTATCACGAAAAATCCACTAATAATCTTGATTAGTTAGTATAATCAATTTTGTGCCATTGGTTCAAACGCATTGTACGTTTTTGCATGTCCCATTCATCATGTGAGACGTGTCAAAATGGAGATCTTTACCTAAATGTACATGAATACAATGATACTAATATACTATTTTTAATTCTGGCTTGACGTGTTGGAAGTGTAATTGAAGATACACATTATTTAAGGAAGAATGCGACATTTACTATGCATGGGAAAATAGATAAGAATGGTGTGTATGAGGATGTCTGTGAAAGTATTTGAAGTGACGGAAAATCACAGAAACGTGACGAATGATGTTGTTGAAAAAGATTAGTTTGTGTGCTTAAGATATACCGAAATGTGTTAAAAATCTCATAGAAAAAGTATATAGAGAATATGAGCCGTCGCATTTATCGTAAGTTGGTATTGAAGTAGAAGAAATACATGAATCTTGGCAACGAAAAGAGCTGGTGTTGGATTATGCGTTGGTTTGCGTTTAGGATGTGGCCATATGATTTGGTAGCATACCAAACCGGTTTGGTTAATTAACCATAGTTAGGGAAAGTTAACTCCACTAAACCCATTACCTATTGCTTTAACTTATCTTGTCCCTGCGTTGACACAAAAGAGACACTGCTGAGAGAAGTAAAAGGGTTAGACAACTAGAGAGTTGGAAGAAACCTAGACAGGGTGGGAAACTTTTTGAGAAATCATATAATCGAATTGTGACACGTGATTATAATTGAATTGTGACACGTGTTACTTTCCACTTGTTATTTCTTGGCCAATTCCGAAATAGTTTCATCACTTGACCGAGATGAGGTGTATTTTATCGATGACTTTTGAATTTTTCTTACGGTTCGGAAATGAAATAAAAAATAAATCCAAAGAAAACAAAATAATTTTACGAAATGGCCAAATTAGATGAAAAAATTCGTATATATATATATAAATTAGTTGTACTCCAGCACATGATTGGACGAGATAGGCTATTAAAATTAGAAATTGCATTTTGTTTGGTCGTGGACAATATCTACAAAGTGTCAGGCCTGCCTACTTATACAAAATTGAAACATTTGCTTAGCGCTATTTTTATTTATGTTATTCGAAAGATACATTATGTTTTTATGTGTTATATAAATTAGGATTGGGGGGGGGGGGGGGGGGGGGGGGGGGGGTGGGGGTGGGGTCAATTCCATTTGTGATTTATATTTACTTGAAGTGCATATATTTTTAGTGGAATTAAAACGAACCATATTTTTTTTATTTGTTTAAGACCTCAACAACGCTAGAAACGAACACCTATACGTTACGATTTTGTGAAACATCGTTGTAAATAAAACCAATCAATCAACGAATCAATACAACAATAATATACGTGTCTCTCCAGGAGATGACACATCAGCTCTTTCAAGTTTTCTAAAGTTGACATTTTAGCAAAAAAATACCAATTAAAATATTTTATTAATACACATCATCTACTAATTTTTATTAGTTTTAACTTAAATCCATTAAAAATTTATTAAAAACCCAAAAAATTTTTTTTGTTAATCTTTGTTTTATTTTTTGTCAAACCCAAGCCCAAATAATAAATAACATCGAATAAAAAAAAATTAAATCTTTGTTTTATATTTTTGCCAAATCGAAACTCAAATAAATAAATAACAGCAAAAAAACTAAAATTTCTAACTATGTGCTTGCTTGACAGAGACGTATATGATTGAAAAAAGTATTGTAGACTCATCATCAACTATGTTTTCATAATAATAATGCAAAAAGCGTTATGTTTTAAGAAGCTCACACATCAGCAAAAATTTGAACCAATAAAAATATAATAATAATACATATCATTAACACACTAATAAAATCAGTTTACTATTTTATTGACCCATTAAAAAGCTCCAAGTTTACAAAAAAATGGAAGTCGAAAGCAAATGAGGAATAGCTCAGACCACCACAGCTTGAAGATTCGCATTTCCGGTGGATACTGAGAACAAATTTTCTTGGGTTTGGCGGGAATAGAGAATTTCTTTGTTTCGGTAGGAAAATGTGATTTTCAGCTTTGGTAGAAAAACATAATTTTTTGGTTATGGCGGACAAAAGCGAATTCTCGGGTTTGGCAAAAAAATGTGAATTTTTGGTTTTGGTGAGAAAAACAAATTTGATTTTGACGCGAAAACAAAATATCTTAGTTTTGACGAGAAAATTCGAGGGAAATGCAACTTTTCAATTTTGACGAAAAATATGATTTTTCGGTTTTGATAAGAAATGCAAATTTTTGGTTTTTGATAGATAATGTGATTAGTGATTTCTTGATTTTCGCGGGAAAATGTGATTTCTTAGTTTCGTGAGAAATTGTGATTTGACAATTTTGCCGGAAAATGCAATTTCTCGGTTTGATGGAAAAACAAAATTTCTCGATTTTGGCGGGAATAAACAATTTCTTGGTTTTGATGGAAAATACAAATTTTCAGTTTTTGACATAATGTAATTTTTTAGTTTTCGCGTGAAAATGCGATTTCTTAGTTTTCGCAGGAAACACAATTTCTCAAGAGATAGTGCAATTTTTGGTTTTTACGGGAAATTGTAGTTTATCGGTTTTGGTAGGAAGGCGTGATTCTTGGTTTGACGAGAAAAATATTTCTTTTTTATTTTGGCGGAAATAGATGATTTCTCGGTGTTTGCGGAAAATTATTTTTTTCGGTTTTGATGGGAAAATATGATTTTTTGGTTTTTGCAAGAAGATGAATTTTTTTAGTTTTGGTGAACAACTTGATTTCTCTGTTGTGGCGGAAAAACACAGGTTTTCGCGGGAAAATGCGACTTTTTGGTTTTTGCGGAAAATGCAATTTCTTTGTTTTGGTAGGAAAATGAAATTTCAGGTTTGACGAGAAAATGAATTTTTTGGTTTTGGCGGGAATATGCGATTTCTCAGTTTCGTAGGATAATGAAACGTTTTTGTTTTGTTGGAAAATACAATTTCTCCATTTTTGTAAAAATGATAAAATTTCTCTGTACTAAATTATCAAGTTACAATATGTTTATAGTAACCAAAATTGAATCATTTAACTTCAACTAAATTGATATTTCAACAATTCAAACATAACTTTTTATATAGTTCTGAAGCAATAACAATGATTTTGATATTAATGTTATTGATTATAGTTTGGTAGTTTTAGAAATATATGATTATAATAAATATTTAATAAGTAAATAAATTTGACAATTCCATTTGTGATTTATATTTACTTGAAGTGCATATATTTTTAGTGGAATTAAAACGAACCATATTTTTTTTATTTGTTTAAGACCTCAACAACGCTAGAAACGAACACCTATACGTTACGATTTTGTGAAACATCGTTGTAAATAAAACCAATCAATCAACGAATCAATACAACAATAATATACGTGTCTCTCCAGGAGATGACACATCAGCTCTTTCAAGTTTTCTAAAGTTGACATTTTAGCAAAAAAATACCAATTAAAACATTTTATTAATACACATCATCTACTAATTTTTATTAGTTTTAACTTAAATCCATTAAAAATTTATTAAAAACCCAAAAAATTTTTTTTGTTAATCTTTGTTTTATTTTTTGTCAAACCCAAGCCCAAATAATAAATAACATCGAATAAAAAAAAATTAAATCTTTGTATTATATTTTTGCCAAATCGAAACTCAAATAAATAAATAACAGCAAAAAAACTAAAATTTCTAACTATGTGCTTGCTTGACAGAGACGTATATGATTGAAAAAAGTATTGTAGACTCATCATCAACTATGTTTTCATAATAATAATGCAAAAAGCGTTATGTTTTAAGAAGCTCACACATCAGCAAAAATTTGAACCAATAAAAATATAATAATAATACATATCATTAACACACTAATAAAATCAGTTTACTATTTTATTGACCCATTAAAAAGCTCCAAGTTTACAAAAAAAATGGAAGTCGAAAGCAAATGAGGAATAGCTCAGACCACCACAGCTTGAAGATTCGCATTTCCGGTGGATACTGAGAACAAATTTTCTTGGGTTTGGCGGGAATAGAGAATTTCTTTGTTTCGGTAGGAAAATGTGATTTTCAGCTTTGGTAGAAAAACATAATTTTTTGGTTATGGCGGACAAAAGCGAATTCTCGGGTTTGGCAAAAAAAAAAAAATGTGAATTTTTGGTTTTGGTGAGAAAAAACAAATTTGATTTTGACGCGAAAACAAAATATCTTAGTTTTGACGAGAAAATTCGAGGGAAATGCAACTTTTCAATTTTGACGAAAAATATGATTTTTCGATTTTGATAAGAAATGCAAATTTTTGGTTTTTGATAGATAATGTGATTAGTGATTTCTTGATTTTTGCGGGAAAATGTGATTTCTTAGTTTCGTGAGAAATTGTGATTTGACAATTTTGCCGGAAAATGCAATTTCTCGGTTTGATGGAAAAACAAAATTTCTCGATTTTGGCGGGAATAAACAATTTCTTGGTTTTGATGGAAAATACAAATTTTCAGTTTTTGACATAATGTAATTTTTTAGTTTTCGCGTGAAAATGCGATTTCTTAGTTTTTGCAGGAAACACAATTTCTCAAGAGATAGTGCAATTTTTGGTTTTTACGGGAAATTGTAGTTTATCGGTTTTGGTAGGAAGGCGTGATTCTTGGTTTGACGAGAAAAATATTTCTTTTTTATTTTGGCGGAAATAGATGATTTCTCGGTGTTTGCGGAAAATTATTTTTTTCGGTTTTGATGGGAAAATATGATTTTTTGGTTTTTGCAAGAAGATGAATTTTTTTAGTTTTGGTGAACAACTTGATTTCTCTGTTGTGGCGGAAAAACACAGGTTTTCGCGGGAAAATGCGACTTTTTAGTTTTTGCGGAAAATGCAATTTCTTTGTTTTGGTAGGAAAATGAAATTTCAGGTTTGACGAGAAAATGAATTTTTTGGTTTTGGCGGGAATATGCGATTTCTCAGTTTCGTAGGATAATGAAACGTTTTTGTTTTGTTGGAAAATACAATTTCTCTATTTTTGTAAAAATGATAAAATTTCTCTGTACTAAATTATCAAGTTACAATATGTTTATAGTAATCAAAATTGAATCATTTAACTTCAACTAAATTGATATTTCAACAATTCAAACATAACTTTTTATATAGTTCTGAAGCAATAACAATGATTTTGATATTAATGTTATTGATTATAGTTTGGTAGTTTTAGAAATATATGATTATAATAAATATTTAATAAGTAAATAAATTTGATAATTCAAAATAATTATATTAATTAATAAATTTTCTTTTAAATGGCAATTTGCTTTATATAATTTCAAAGGAGAATCAAGTGACAATTTAGTAGAGAAAATATATTACATTTGCCATTAGCATAAAGATACTTAAAAATATATTATTTTATTTTTAGATATACATTTATAGATAGTTAGCTAAACAAATTTAGTAGTAGATTATAATATTGAAAAAATAAAGAAATTAAGGATATATAATATTTAATCAGATTTAAAACATATAAATACATAACTTAAGTTAATAAAATAAATATAATATTTATTTACATTATTAAAATAATTTTATTATATGAAAAACATATACAATCTAGAAAAATATCTCGCAGCATAGCGCGAGTAAATACTTAATTATTCTAATAAACAAATAAGAATAGTCGGACAAAATCAAGGAAGATCAATCAAATTAATATAACTATAAAAGTTTCTCAAAGAGATGCTATTTGAAGAGATACATTGAACGCAGGCACTGCATTATATAATATATGCTTTCATCAGTTGTAAGTATTACAGTAATTTAAAATTCAAAAACAAAAATAGATTTAAATATTAAGAAAATAAAAAGACAAAAGAGAGAAGAAGTATCAATGCATCTTATGTCTTTATCACATCTGCGAAGAAAAAAAAACGAGGAGAAGCGGAAAATAAGGGTAAGAAGAGGCGCGAATGGTTTAGACAGATGACAGCACGACCAACTTCCATTTTTCTAAAGTTGATTTCTTTTCTGGATTCTTTCTCTCACATCCAAATAAAACTGTAATAATAATAAAAAAAACAACCTTTTTATTTTTATTTTAAGGAAATGGGTTTTTTTTTTATACGGAGGATTTTGTTCTCATCTTTTAGGTACTGAGGATTTGGTAGACAATTTCTTCCTCCATTATTGACAGAGAGAAACAGAGGAACAAACAAACAAACATTGAAGATGGAGTTGGTTCAGATGCAGAAGAATTTGCAAGATTACACTAAATCACTCTTCTTGGAAGTAAGTTTTTAGCATTTGAAATGGGGAAAAAATATTAGGAAAGAAAAAGTTCACAACTATCTTATTGGTTTATTTAGAGTTTAGGTTTGATAATCTTAAATTAGTATCTTGATTATGGAAAATTTCTCTGTTTTGGTACATCAAAGGGGATTTTGGACAGTCAGTTCTTGCAGCTGCAACAACTACAAGATAAAAGCAATCCAGATTTTGTTTCACAAGTTTTTTTTTTTTTTTTTTTTTTTTTGGTATGAATGTTAATTTTTATACCTTTTTGTTTTTGGGGGAACAATGTTGTTGTTGAACAACTTATTACAGGAAGAGCCAGAACGGCAAAACGGAAGTTACAGTGCAGAAAAGCAAAGAAAGAAGGCCTCCAGCAAAGAAGGGGCGCCGTCGCCTGGATCGGGGATAAAGAGGAGGCGATCCCTCACTGATCGATCAATAGCCACGCGAACTGCAGCAGTGTTTGTGGAAGCTGAGTTGAAGATCCTCCTGTTGTGCTCCTTTCAAAGCTGATAGATGGTAACCTGAAAGAGCAGTTTCGTTATTACTCCTCTCGCTGAACGACGGAGAGTTAGATCATCGGAGATTGCTGAAGCTACAGCATAGAGGGTTTGAGGTGGTGATAACCCAGAACCCGCTGAGAAGAAGCTCCAGATTTGAGAGGAGAAGGAGCACTCAAAAAATAAGTGGTTGTGAGTCTCCTGATGTGTAGCACACAACGGGCATTCATCGGGAATATTAACTCCCCACCGTCGAAGCCTGTCCTTAGTTGGCAGTCGTGCCAATAACGCCAACCAGGTAATGAAGGAGCATCTCGGAATTGCTTCTTTAAACCAGATAGCTGGTGACCAGTGAATCTCTGGAGATCTTACTCGCAAGAAGTTCCAAATTACCTTAGAAGAGAAGGAAGGCACAAACGAGCTTGCAGCATTGCGCCAGAGAAATACATCCGGACCCCTTGAAGCATGGGGGGGGGGGGGGGGGGGGGTGATCGTAGACAGAACAACTTGGAGCGTCTCCGCTTCCTCTGTTCTTGCTGCAGGTAGGGCCCAAAGTCCGTTCGATGTGGCTTTGATAACTGAAGCTTCCAGCAGAATTCGCAGTTGACGAGAGCCATTTACCCCGAGAGCAGTGATTAACTGACCCATGTCATTCCAGTTGCCAAACCAGAAGGAAGCCGTATCACCATTCCTTACCACGCAATGCATTAGGTGAACTAGAACATGCCGCTGCTGCAGCATGCTCCTGATCGAGCTGGAATACCGTGGCGAATCCGCGGTCTGCCAGAAGCCTTTCCTCACAAAGATATGAGATTTCACCCAAGCGACCCACAATGAGCCTGCGTTGGTGAAGAGGTTCCATATCTGCTTCAGCCTGAAAACCTGCTGGAATTCAGAGAGTCGACGGAGACCAAGCCCTCCCTCAGCTTTGGGTTGACACACGTCTCGCCAAGCGACTCTAGCTCCCCTAGCCGAGTTGGTTTTGTTCTTCCACAGAAAGGCCGAGCATAAGGAGTCGATTTTGGTATAGAACAGTTTAGGGAGAGAGAATACAGAGCTCCAAAAGTTCACCATACCATAGATGACGGAAGAGACTAGTCTAATCTTGCCCGCGAAAGACAGAGATTTAACTGTCCACGAGTGAAGCTTACTGGTGACTTTCTAGAGAAAAGGCTGCAGAGTAGCTAGAGAAATCCTCTTAGGGTTAAGAGGAAGGCCTAGATATCTCGTAGGGAAGGTCCCAAGTGTGAAACCGGAGATGCCACTTAGGACCGCTTATTGGATGTCATCGTAGCCACCAAAGAAAATCTCTGATTTTGATGGATTTATATCAAGGCCACAGATATCAGCAAAATGAGCCATAACCTCTTTAATTCCAGAGATAGAGTGACGAGATCCATCAGAGAAGAGCAAAATCTCTGATTTTGTTTCACAAGTTGTCTCTCTTTTCTTCCAAGACTCTGATAGGATTCTCAATGATCTCTCACTTTCCCTGTAATCTGAATTACACTTTCTCCCTTTAATCTTCTTCTACTCTTTCTGTCCAAAACTTATTTTCTCACTGTTCTTCTGCTTTTCACAGACATCAACAAGTTGTAGACTTCAAAAAAGTTGATCCTCATGTTCATCAACTCAAAGGTAGCAGCTCCAGGTAAAAATTGGATAAACAAAATTATTACTTTTAATTTAGATCTGATTCTGATCCATACTTATATAAAACTCAACTATGGACACTTTGAGATCATGAAATGAGTAAAAGATTAATTTTTTGAATGTGTCTTGTTGCAAAAAAACAGTATAGGAGCACAGAGAGTCAAAAATGCTTGTGTTGTCTTCCGCAGCTTCTGTGAGCAACAAAATGTTGAAGCGTGAGTTTGATCGAATATGTTGTTGGTTGGTCCATTATTATTATTATTTTTCTTTCATTTTAATATCTGATTAAAAGAACAAAAAATTTGATGAAAATTTAGATGTCATAGATGTTTGCAACAAGTGAAGCAAGAGTACTATCTTGTGAAGAACAGACTAGAGACTCTGTTCAAGGTGAGGACTACGAACACAAAGTCGAATTATAGTATGGTAAATTTGTGAAAGTAGGAGAGTAGAATAAAATATTGGATGTGTGTTGTGTGTATGTCTGTGTTAGAGTTATTTACCAGTTGTGCTGTGAGGTTTGTTGCCGTAACGTTTGTCAACTTGACCACGTCTTTGTCGAAAGCCACAAACACAGCCTCCGTAGCTCCGTCGTTGACAACCCATGTGGATAGATGCTCATTACAATCAATAATAGTTTCTTCTACATGTGCCTCTTTAAAGTTCCTTCTGATTAGTTTTTTTTTTCATTGCAAGGTACTTATCTTGAGTGTGATGTGTATTTATGCTATATATAGTTTCTTGTTAATTCATAATAATAATTCCATGTTGATAATTTGCTAAACAATGAACTTATATATATGTAGACCAAAACGAAAAGAATATGAATAAATTGTTGACAAAAAGTTCGATTTGGCAAAACAACTGTAAAGACTTCAAAACAAAAAAGTCTTAAAAATCATATATTAGCGAATCAAACTTTACTGATTTAAAAGTCTTTAAGGTAATAAAAGTTCTCACAAAACCACTCTCACAATATTTTTCTTTACTTTTGTTCTTCGGCCATTTTTTTTAAAAGTCTACAAAAATTGACTTTTATTTTTTTTAAAGTCAAAATCATTGTTTTATAGTAAACACTAGGGGTTGAAAAGAGCAGTTGTTTTAGGTTTTTAATGGGTTTAAATTTAAAAACTAAAATAAGTAGATGAGTTGTATTAATGTTTTAATTTGATTGGTTTGTAAAATAGCTGAGGTGTCAGCTTCTCAAAGATAAAAAAATATGATGTGTCAACTTATGGAGAGACTTGAGTGTTATTGTTGTATTGAACCGATCAGCTCCCATTTTTTTATACTTAACTTGAGCTTCAAAAAGACTAAGTTAGTAAGTCTGATATTCATAGAGCTTGATTCCTCATTTATACCTGATAAATTGTCTGCAATGTTTGAAAAGTGATGGTACTCATCTCCCTTGTTTAAATAAAAAAAATAAAGAAATAAAGTGTGATAAATTTCGAAAATTTGAGATGATTCTCTTTGGATGAAGGGTAGGAAAATTTCCAATGATCCCAATATTTCATTTTAAAGAGATGATCACAGGTGGAAGTAAGGTTAGGATTATCCCATGATACCATTATTTACCTACACCTGAATAATATAATGAAACTTTAGAAAATAGTAAGTCTGGGGGAGAGAAAGAGTACCAAGGGTTGATAGGTTGCAGTGCAAATTTATTTAGGTATAGTATGGGAATAATTCTAGAATGTTCTTAAATATTTAGGCTGCTAATGAGGTTTAGTAATGATAGTTATTGGACAATGCTGTGAATTTATGTGTTGAATCTGGGATGCTGTGAATGTCTAAGGAGAAGTACATGGTGGTTCGATTTGGTTTAAAAAATGCAGTGTGTGGATTACAAGATGAGCAGTTGAAACAATGATCTATGAGAAGGAAAGTTCCCGTGTTTTCAAACCTCGACTCTATATTTAGTTTTATGTTTGCTTGAGGGCAAGCAAAAGCTAAGTCTGGGGGAGTTGATATATCATGGTTTTTACTGGTTTTTGACCATGATATAAGTCTTGTTTATAGAGTCTTTTTGGTATATTTCGAGTCCTTTAGAGTCTTTGCAGGTCTATGTATGTTTGGAGTATAATTGTGAGTTTTGGAGCCTTTTGCAGCTATGTTGAGGTTGATGCTGAAAAGACCAAGTCGGAGAGCATTCTGAAGCAGGGTGTCGATCGACACCAGCCACTTGGTGTCGATCAACACCGATTGTGGTCGCGAAGAGGAGCCTTAAAAACTATTTTTGAAGAATTACAACTTAGCCCAGAAGTTTCCTACTATTTGCAAACTTACCCCAGTCGTGTTTAGAGTTGTATTTAGGTTTTGAAAGCCATTGTTAGGCAATCATCTTGTTTTCTTGAGACTAAGAGAGAGATTAGATTCAGAGCTTTTGGGGAGACAAATCCGTACTCTGTTAGAGAAGAATTTCGAAACCCTTTGTCTTTTACTCTATCTTTTAATGCAATATTATTCAGTCATGGTTTGTGTTTCAATTTCTATGACTGAGTAATCTGCTAGATAGGTTTTGGGTTATTCAAAGGTTGATAATAAATTGTTAGAACTTCAAAACTGGAAGGATAAATCATTTGGTTCTTTATCTAGATTGTTTTGATACTGGTTTTGAGATTGATCACCTAGAAATCAGATCTTAGGTTGTTTAATAGATGTGGAAACAATATTAATCACCAGAACTATCTTAGATGAGCAAAATAACTGATTGCAAAGGAATTTGGATTAGTGATTATGTGAACATATCGAACCTGCACCATAATGCTTGCTTAGGTTGTTAGAATTTGCAAAGGAATTTTGAATTTCTAGAATATGATCATATTTAATCTCTGCGACGGAAGTCGATTGGTTTTACATTCGTGTTTTCGAGTTCTACAGCGGTTTTAATAAATAATCATTTCAGTTTGTAGTCTGCGATTTATGTCAACCTGTGAATTTTCCATTGCCTAGCGCATTGTCTCCTTGATTTTAAGAACTCATAATCCGCTCCTGCTCTTGTTATTTTTATTTGTTGTTTAGTTTTATTTGTTATAGATCGCTTAGCTATATTTGAATCTAAAGTCTGTTGAGTAATTGTCTTAAGTCCTTGTGGATTCGATCCCTAAGTTCTACATTGATCTCTTAATTTGAGAGAATAGCTCTAAACGTTAATTTGAGCATATCAAAGACAAAAAAAATTCAAGATGAATACATTGAAAAAAAATAAACAACCACAAAATATCCAAATTCCCGTGTTGCGCGGATCACAAACTAGAAATTAAAAAAAAAATTCGAGAAAGATACATGTGAGAAATAGAAATTCATCTTAAAATTCTCAAGAATATACGATACAATAACTTTAATACAAAAATGTATAAAAATGAATCATATAGCCGCGCGTAGCACGGATCACCAACTAGTTTGCTTATAAAAGGATAGCTTGCATATTGATCGAAAGAAACTCTAATTTAATAATTATAGCACCATCATGTTTATTTATATAGTTCACCAAAAGATTTACATCTTAATAATTATATAAAAATATCAATATTAATTTTTTGATTAATAAAATTTTCTTTTTATAACTAGTAAAAACGGTTTGCTTTTATTTGAAACATTAAAATAAGATCAGTTAGTTTATATACGACCAATATAAATATCTACTTAGTCTACTTATTCATGTTTATATTGGACCAAAATATTATGATAATTAAGTTAAAAGCAGGTCAAAATACTGTATGTAGTTTAGTATGTACATACAGTAAAATGAGAGAGAGAGAGAGTGTGTGAGATAGATACAAACATAATAATAAATCAAATTTGGAAGACACTGTTTTGCAAAATAGCGAACAACTTTATTATTTTTACGATCTATAAGTATTTTTCTGTATCTTAATATTGTTGCAGAGGTTAGTAATAGAATAGTCAAACTAGCTTGTTAATTAAAATTTTACAATTTTTAAAATATAAGAAAAAACAAAAATAAATATGATATTTATTATAATTTTTTGATTTAAGGCAAAAATTAGATATGCGACTATTTTTGTATATAAATATTAATATTCAAAACTCGGATATGTAACAAAATTATTATATTATTAAAATATATATAAAATTTTGCAAAAAAACGTAAACTATTTAATAGTTATTAATTAAATGGAAAATTGTATTCTATTTTTTAAAATGTCTGAAACAACTAAAAAGATTCTCCTTTTCTTCTTTAGAATCCAAATATTGGATTGTATTCTACATACCTCCTGATCCATTTCCGTCTAAAACAAATTGTTTCCAAAACATGTAGTCCAGTGAGATAAGAATCTTGAATCTTTGTAGATCCAACGGTTTAACTAAGGATCAACATGATCGTATATATCCAATTACTTTGCACCCGATCGACACTTTGAGTCAGCACTTGCTCATCATTTCATCAACTCAAAACCCAAAACCCGAATCGAAAACGGAAGAAAAAAATCAGACTACACGAAAACCTAGATGTTGCTCCGAATCTCTCTCCAGCATGGTAAAATCTCAATCCTCTTTGATTCTACTCGTTTCAAAAATTCATATACTTCGACACGATCAATGCTAAGATTTTGGTGTTTTCAGGGAAGAACAATCTCAGGACTTTGAGACCTCTGTTTCTCGGTATTCGGAGCTGTTGGTTCTCAATGTCGCCGGAGCCATCTACTCATCAGCCAAAACCTCCCGTGAGTTTATTGACGAGATTTCGTAATTTGCTCGATATTTGATTTACTGGAAGTTTTCTGTTCTTGAAGGTCTGGGTTGATTTGATGTGAGTCGGATTCGATTTCTGATGTTATGTGTCTCAGAAAGTGCAAAATCTTATTGGAGGCTCTTTTGTTGATTCTAAAGCATCATCATATATCGATGTTATAAACCCTGTAAGCTCTCTTATTGAGTCCTTTACACTGTGTTTTAGACTTTGAGATGGCTTTGGTACGAAGTGATTTTGATTTTGCTATAGGCTACACAAGAAGTTGTTTCTCAAGTTCCATTAACAACAAACGAAGAGTTCAAGGCGGCAGTATCCGCTGCGAAGCAAGCGTTTCCTTCATGGAGAAACACTCCGATCACAACTCGTCAGCGTGTTATGCTGAAGTTTCAAGAGCTTATACGCAAAAATATGGTATTTACCAATATGTTTTCACTTTGTTTTGCTCTTAAACATGTGTCCTTGGCTGAAAGTTTTAATCTTTCTGCAGGATAAACTTGCTATGAACATTACGACTGAGCAAGGGAAGACATTAAAGGATGCACATGGCGATATCTTCCGTGGGCTAGGTTAGTTTTATTGCGGGTTTCGGTTATATGATTGACAAGGAGAGCAGAAACTATACGGATGACTTTTTTGCTACTTGCTGCAGAGGTTGTGGAGCATGCGTGTGGAATGGCGACACTGCAGATGGGTGAATATGTCCCTAATGTGTCGAATGGTGTTGATACGTATAGTGTTAGGGAGCCATTAGGTGTCTGTGCTGGCATTTGTCCTTTCAACTTTCCAGCGATGATTCCTTTATGGGTAACTTGCTTAAGCCCTTTTGTTATATTAGGGCTTTATATGGCTTCGTTAACGACATGTATATCCTTAATTCTTGGTGATGCTCTTCTGTGAAGCCTGCGTGTTTATTCTGTGTTTGTTGTTGCAGATGTTTCCCGTTGCAGTGACATGTGGTAATACCTATGTTCTAAAGCCTTCAGAGAAGGATCCTGGTAATTTTCTGGAATTTTTTACCCTTATTCATTGGATCCAGTTTCAGTAACTAAAGGACGCTCCTGTGTTGTTTTTAAGTTCTGTGTTCAAAGTTCAAGTGCATATCATTGATGTCAGTGTACATACATCTTGCTAGCAAGGCCAATGTGAATAAGCTTAATGCTCTAAGATATATCAGATTTTCTTCTAAATGTTAGACTTCACCACCTGCATTATTGGTTGAGAGTTGTCCACTATAGCAACATTAATGTTATTAATCATCCATATAGAAAATAAATGTGGTTTGTTATGTGTGAAGCGGGTTGTTTATACTTTATATTACTTGCTTTCTCCAGGTGCTTCTGTAATACTTGCGGAGTTGGCAATGGAAGCTGGATTACCTGATGGGGTTCTCAATATTGTTCACGGCACCAATGTATGTTATTTTAGATTTGCTGCTCTTTCGTAATTTTCTATTTGTTAGAATTTAAATCGTTGAAGAAAGGATCCCCCTCGGGAGATAGTATGGGAATGTTCTATTCTGCAAACTACATTCACCTCAAACTGTTTCAAAATATACAATCTTTTATGATTCTGCACTATTTACCTTCACTCTCTTTGTCGTCTGTAATAATGCATCCTTCACATGGCAGGACACTGTGAATGCTATCTGTGATGATGACGATATACGAGCTGTTTCTTTTGTTGGCTCAAACACTGTAAGTATATATTTTGTTGATGCTCATTTATAGCCTGCAGACTTGGGTTTGCGTTTCACCCAGCTATGATAACTAATATTTTTCATCTTGTCAGTTTCCTGTGTAATATTCATCTGTGCATACTATTCTTCTGCACAGATAGCTAAATCATACTTAAGAACTCTTCAAAAGCTGTTAACAAGACTGATGATGGAAGATTTGCTTTTCTTCTGAGCTCGACATTTTGGTTTAATTTGTGTATTCCGAATTGAAATGTTTTTCTATAGGCCGGAATGCATATATATGCGAGAGCAGCAGCGAAAGGCAAACGTATTCAGGTAAAATCTTGCATCCTCTCCCTTGTAAAATTCTTTTTAGTACCGACTCTATGTCACTTTCTTATGAAATAATATCTGTTCAGTCAAATATGGGGGCGAAAAATCATGGTGTTGTAATGCCTGATGCCAGCGTCGATGCTACTTTAAATGCGCTACTTGCTGCTGGGTTTGGTGCAGCTGGACAGAGATGCATGGCACTGAGTACAGTGGTCTTTGTTGGCAATTCAAAATCATGGTACTGCTACCTTTTGTCTCCCAATATTCAAACTGCTCCCAAGTCTTTTGGGTGTAATCTTCTCGAATATCATATATTTGTTTTTCTTTGTGATAGCATACTTGCCTATTATATAGTATATATTATATTTTTCTCTCCTGTGGTTTCCGAGCTCCACAACCGTAAGATGCATAAAATTGTAGAGGACACCACTTCTTTCTTTTATTGGTTACTGGTTTTTTCCCGTTGATTTTCATTCGATAATATTACATGATTAGCTTCAACTTGTCTAATTCTAACCAGGGAGGATAAACTCGTCGAGCGAGCGAAAGCCCTTAAAGTCACATGTGGGACAGAGCCAGATGCAGACCTGGGTCCTGTGATTAGTAAACAGGTACGTTTTACACTCTGTCCTCTGGTACATGTCACGACTATTGCTTAACTTATGTGCGCAACAATCACGTTTAGTTTTACGTTTTGTCCGTTGTTTATTATGGCTAGGCCAAAGAACGGATCTGCCGATTGATTCACTCTGGTGTGGACGATGGTGCTAAATTGCTACTTGATGGAAGAAATATTGTGGTAATTTTCGAATCTCCATGATTACTGTTATTGCAACAGATTAACGTCTTAACAATATAGCACTAACCACCACATTCTTATGAAATAGTAATCACGAATCATCAAATTCTCTTATCTATTTATGATAGACTTATATTGTGGCATCAAGAATCTTTGTAATAATGTTCATATATCTTTACTCGTAACAAAACAGGTTCCAGGATACGAGAAAGGGAATTTTATCGGTCCTACCATTTTATCTGGTGTTACCCCAGACATGGAGTGTTACAAGGTATTATTATTCTGGTATTTTTAAGCAAATAATCTGTTTTTTTCTCTACTTGAAAGTTACATTTCTTGTTGACACATTGCAGGAGGAAATATTTGGTCCTGTTCTTGTATGCATGGAGGTAAGATTGGAGAAATCAAGTTTCATTTCAATCATAAATTTGTTTTTTTTCTTCTTGTTATGTTTGTGTGATTTACTCGCGCTCTAACAGGCAAACAGCTTTGACGAAGCCATAGAGATACTAAATAGAAACAAGTAAACACACTTCTTCTGTTATCTCATTGGGTATCATATGCTAGTGTAATCCTATCATCTTCTTCAACAATCTGCTATTTATACTTTCAACAGATACGGAAACGGTGCTGCTATATTCACTTCATCCGGTGCAGCGGCGAGAAAGTTTCAGATGGAAATAGAAGCAGGACAGGTATGCATTAAGTAACATTGAGGTTAATAGAACACTAACTTCTAGTTGTATATACATTTTGACATTGTTGATCTCTTGCTCAGATTGGTATTAATGTTCCGATCCCGGTTCCATTACCGTTCTTCTCATTTACTGGGAATAAAGCTTCCTTTGCTGGAGATCTAAACTTCTATGGTAAAATAGTTTGTCACAACTTGAAATAGTTCAGATTTATTCACTTTGTTTTGTCTATTTACTTGCTTATACTCAAAGTGGGATTGTTGCAGGCAAAGCAGGAGTAGACTTTTTCACTCAGATCAAGACTGTGACGCAACAGTGGAAGGATATTCCAACTTCAGTATCTCTTGCAATGCCTACATCGCAAAAGCAATAACTATCCCAACTTCACTATTTCTCTTTTACTTTTGGATTTCTTGAAATAATATGTTTCCATTTTATTCAATAAAACTGTAAGCATCACATGCGCTAAACTGTTGTAAAAGTAAAAGTGAACAATTTCATGATGAACTTATAAATCAAAAGAATAATTTTTCAATTAGAAATATAAAAAGTAGAAACTTAATAAATTAATAATGTTGGAATTTTGATATTTTATTAATTTATTGAGTTATTAAATTTATTGGTTTTAGAAAAAAAATTGTTTATTATTAATTAATTAAAAAAATATTTTTTAAAAAATTTATAATATTTTTCAAAATTTTCATAATAAAAATAGAAACAAATGATAAAAATATTTCAATTTTTAATATGAAAACAACAATATACACATATTTTAATAAATTATCATAATTATATATTTATATAAAATTATTTATATTATATATATTAATTTATGATACCAATGAAACTATATTTTATATATGTTTTCAAAAAAAATATTATCTTATAAATTTATCGATTTGTATTAAATTGTAAACTGATCCTACTCGGAACCGAACAAAATTATTGATTTATCAAATTTATTAATTTATCAAATATTAATTTATAGAATTTCTACTGTATATTTATTCATATAAACATAATGAATTTGTTTGTCTCATGGAGAATATCGAGGGCAGTCCCTTTTTGGATGGAAGCTATATTTGGTAATTTTGACTACCCAAAAAAGAAAAAAGAAAATCTCAAAATTAAACCAGAAAATGGGACATAAAAAGTGAAATAAGATATTTAGTAGTCTAAAGAAATACGGTTAGGAGCGAATATGTAAGTACTAGGTGCTTGGTACATATGATTTTTTTTATAAATATAATTAACTATAACTTATAATATTTAAATAGTAATTAATTTTTTTATACATTCTATAAATGTCATATTTGTATATATATACAGTTTTAATGTTTAATAATAATCACTCAAACGTTTCATATTATTTTGTGCTTTTTAAAACTGATTTTTTAAAAAACTATTTTATTTTTCTAAGGTTTACAGTAACATATAATTGTAAATATAAAAGTTACATTTAATAACAATTTATTTAGAATATGTTTTGAATATTATATATACTATGCTTTATTTTCTCCTTACACACTGTAATCTTGTTAATTTATATATTTTAAGTAGATAATTTTTCTTGACTTATTGGTATTTTAAGTATTTTCGTGCGTAGCAACCACCTCACTGCTCTTAAGATAGATAGAGTTTTTTAAAAAATATATAAATTGTTTGATAGCTGAAATTAATTACGGATTGTAATCAAGGTTAACAAAATGCATGCATAATAAGTTTGCATGCAACTTCAAATTTTGCACAATTAATATTTATATCCACACGAATAGTTGTAAAAAATCGAGGCATGATTTTTATGTATTAAAATAAAAATAACAAAGTATATGTTTTGTAATATATAGTTTTATAAATGGTTAAATTTTAAAATAAATAAATACATATATTTATGCATATGAATATGGGTTAGAAATAAGTGAATTATAACATTTAGATGTTGATTAGTTTTGGTGATATTTTCTGCAAACGTTAAGTTTTTACACGATGCAGTTTTTGGCATTTAACAACAATCATAAAAACCGTTTCTATCTCTTTTTATTTAATCAAAATTTCTTATTTTAAGCGTTTATGATATATTAACAAAAATTACAAACAAAATTTTAAAATAAATCAAAATGTAATATTTGACTTTATAATGAAATAATTTATTGTACATTGGATAATCTATTATTGATTTTCCTTTTCAATAATAATTATAATAAATAATTAGTATAAAATTTGTGAAATTATATTTTATAAAATTCTCTGGTAGCTCTTCGTCAATCTCTTCATCCAATATTGAAGAATTGGTTTGAAAATTTTTTTTATGGTTGACCTGTACGCATGTGTTTATTATAAAATATGATCCGCACATGCGTTTATTATAAAACTTACTTTTTAAGATTTTTAAAATTGCTTCTACGTCTTATTCATATTGCTTCTTAGTAATTTATTTTTTATCTGGTTATTTTTCATTAGTTCTGATCTCAAACACTCAAAAATAAATTATAATAAAATAAAACAAATATTTATATGAATATGATATAAACAAATAAGTGTTTACGAGTGGGATGATCCCAGTCATGGAAGTGGGATTTTGAGTTTGGAGCTCTCTTCTTCTTCTTATTGTTACTATAAAAGAAGGTTGTTTAACTGTGAACTTCTTCCTTGTGATGTGTTTGATGATTGAAGCAACACTTAACATTTTCTTAATGCACAACTAAATCCTACTTTTGTATAATACCGTTACCTGAAAAATTCAGATAGTTTATATGCATAAAATTGTTATCAATCCAAACATCTAGTGATTACACACTTCTGATACTCTATGCATCAAGGTCATGTGAACCAGACTGGTTTGTTTGGTTGATGCTAAAGTGAAACAAATGAATTAATAACAATTCTAATTTGATTACAAAGATCCTGGTAACTTTTTCATTAATCAAGTGGAGTCCAAGTCCGATTAACATTAAATTTCGAGACTCATTTGCAGCAAAACAACCAGAAAATAGTAAATGCTAGAAAGCTCAAGCTAAAAAACTTAGATGGGCTTGACAAAAAGAACTCAGCCGGGTCATATGAATTTTAATAGCCCAAAATTATCAGAAAATGATCCATAAGAAATGGTAATCCAATCTATATGGTCCCAGAAATTAGATAAGTGTTTTTCTACAACGAAAAATAAGATAATTTCAATCGAAATCACTGAGACTTTGAGAGGGTTTACCGTTCACTAATTACTACATGTGGGCGCACGTCGCTATAACATATAAATGACAAAATTATTAATTTCTTGTATGTGGCCCGTGAGTCTGTGACATGTACCAAGAAAAAGGAATGTACTATTATGATCCATATGCATGTAATTTCTTGGATATGCATGCCTCCAAGAACCTCATGTTTGACATTGTTTTATATATGCGTTTGTTAGACTTCTCTTTCTTTGTCTGTCCTCTGTAGCAAAGTCTAGCTTTTATTTGCCTCAACTTCAATTTGTTCTTATTTAACTTTACTAGTTCCTTTTAATGTAGAATTCATTTTTAATCTGTTTTATAACTGAACCTTTTGTTTTATGACTTTGTCAATCACTTTTCTCATTTTTTTTTCTTCTATTTTTTTGGGGTGAACAACATAATTATAAATAATTATAAATATCATAAACGACTCACAAATCCAAACACGTACTAAGTTCACACAGTAAATCTGTGTTAGCATTAATGATGCAACTATATATATAGTTGATAATAAAATAGTTGATATCATTTTCTTACACCAAATTGTTTTGTATATATCACATTTTTTTGTGTGGAGAAAATATAATCTAATCTTTTATTCCAATGTTTCTTAGATCAATTAAAAATGAACATTAGTATAACAGGTATAAGACATATTCGGGTTGCAACGTTTAATGTGGCAATGTTCTCACTTGCCCCTCTGGTGCAAAACATGGAGGAAACAACTTTGGGTGATCATATAAGTCTATCTCCGAAAGGGATTCTGAAGCAGTCTCCGTTACATCCTTCTGCAGTCAAGAAACCAAAGGTTTGCATTAATCTCCCGGAGAATGAGATCTCTTTAGCACAGAGCTACAGCTTTCTTAGCATGGTAGAGAATGATAAGGAAAACAGAGGAAGTATCTCGATGAGGTCTCCCGTGTGTCTTCCCTCTTGTTGGTGGGATCAAGAGAGCTTTAATGGATACAGCAGCGGGAGAAGCATAGCTGAGTTGCTAGGAGAGTTGGATGCAGACATCTTGGCTTTGCAAGACGTGAAAGGAGAGGAAGAGAAACTCATGAAGCCATTATCAGGTTTGGCTTCTGCTCTAGGTATGAAGTACGTTTTCGCAGAAAGCTGGGCTCCTGAGTATGGCAATACAATACTCTCGAAATGGCCCATAAAGAAATGGAGAGTCCAGAGAATCGCTGATGCAGATGATTTAAGGTATTGGTTTTAACTGCAAGATTCATTTTGTAGAGTTAGGTGTTCATTTCTGTTTTCCAAGTCTTAACTTGTGCTCCAAGTTTGAAGAAACTTGAATCAAATTCAGGTTGTAGATGCTATAAGAAGATGCGATGTGTTTGTTTTATGTTCTGAAACATAGGTTTTGTTGCGTGTGGTCAAAGGTTTCTTTGTGTGTAGGAGTGTCTTGAAGGTGACTATAGAGGTCCCAAGGGCAGGAGAAGTAAACGTGTATTGTACGCAACTGGATCATCTAGATGAGTATTGGCGGATGAAGCAAATCGATGCAATTACTCGAGGAAATGAATCTCCTCACATCTTGTTGGGAGGGTTGAATTCTCTTGATGGCTCTGATTATTCAATATCAAGATGGAACCATATCGTAAAGGTTTAAAAGATGCATAAGATACAATCATTAGTATATAAGATCTTGATGGCTCTGATTATTCAATATCAAGATGGAACCATATCGTAAAGGTCATAACTTAGTTATTTTTTTCATAAATAACCAAAAACAGTACTACGAGGATTCTGGAAAGCCAACGCCTAGAGTTGAAGTGATGAGATTTCTCAAGGGAAAAGGATATTCAGATTCAAAAGAATTCGCACGAGAATGTGAACCTGTAGTCATTATTGCCAAAGGCCAAAGTCAGTTTCTGCGTTACTCTTTAACTTCCAAAGTTTTATTCTTTCACTAGGTTTTTAAGTTGTATTAATATTTTAGTTTAACTTTTTTTGGTAATATTTTTTAAATTATCAAAACTATAATTTTTTTATAGAAATTTTCTTTTATATAAAATTTAAAACATAATAAGTAGTTTTTCTATTTTTTTGTTTATAAAATTATAAATGTTATTAAATAAAATCATAGTAATGACATCTAACGAATTATCCAACTTTGACATGCATACGTTTGATTTAGAGAATAATTTTCTTACTAAATTTTTGGTATTTTGTTTTGTGTCCTTAGAAATTCTAAAGTTCTTTTTTTGTAAAAATTTATACATTCAAATATTTAATTTTTGATTAAATGTCTCACTCATGTTGTGTATGTGTGCATATATAATATATGATTCATGTTGATTGTGATTTACTTTTGTTAGGATGCTATAATAATCGTGAAAAGCTGCTTTTTGCTTCTCCACCAAATATTCAGTTTATAAGATCTGTTTTATTTGCAGTCAATTATTTGATAATTTTTTTTAAAACATGTAAGATGGTGTGGAGTCTTCACATTATTTTTCACTGTTTTTATCTTGTGTATATTTTATTCATGTTTTGATTTGAATAGTTTATCTAGATATATTCGAATTTGAATTTGATTCATAACTTTATCATACTTTATTATTTAAATAGAATTTTAGAAGGTGCTACTCATGTGTTACTCATGTGTTACTCATGTTGGCTAAGTTATAAGTAGTAACTATGTATAAAAATCAGACTTTATTACTTATTGTATTTTGAATATAAAGTTACTTGTGTAGTATATTTCTTTGTTAGTTTTTAAACCAGACGCATCCAAGGTATTAGTCTTTATAAATTTTAAAAATATGTTTGATTTAGAAACTTGTATAACCTGCTGTAACTTTATATGGTTATTCATAGTCAATACCAATATTTTAGAAATCATGAATTTTCTAAAGCGAAATTTTAAACTAATTTTCTTTTTAGATTTTTTTTTTTATTTTTAGTAATTTTACATATCTTTCAAAAGTAATTTTATATTTTTATTTAATTTATATAATTTTTGCATGTTTGATATAAATTTTAAAAAAAATTATTTATTTTAAGCTCTTTTGTTATTGATTTTCCAAATAAGTACAATATATATACATATATATATATATCAATTTAATCTCTTTTACACAAATGTTTTTTATTTATTAAATTTATTTTTTTATAGTAATTTTGATTTTAATTATAATGATCTTGGACTTCTGTCAAAAGTTTATACCATTATTTGCTTTTTTAGTTATTTTTATGTTTATTTTTCAAAATATTAGTTTAAATATCAAGCTGGTTTTACTTTATAAAAATTTTTGCTTTGATAATTTACCTCTCTTTTATATTTATTTTGATTTTTTTTAACACATAATTATTTTGAAAATATTGATATTGTTGAAGACATAATTTCATTTTTTGTTATTTTGGTAGTTAATTTTTTTTTATATTTATTTTTAAGTAGTTAGTTAGATATCAAGTCAATTTCTTTTTTGGTGATTTTTTTAAATTGGACATTTTGTACTACTTAATTTTGTTTTAGTTTTTGTCAATTAATTTTTTAATATTGATTTCTTAAATAGATAACTTAAATATTTATCTTCTTTTTGCAAGTTAAGTTTATTAGTATTACTTAAGTTTTTTTTTACTCTCTTACTTATTTTGCTAATATTGATTTTGTTAAATAAATAGCATAGATATCAAATTAATTCTTTTTTTTATTTGTTAATTTAACTTTTTCATATGGATTTTCATATTAATGGTATTAACATGTTGAAAAGAAAATATTTATGTTTTGTTTTTGGTAGTCAAACTTTTTTATACTATTTTGTTGAGTAATTAGTATAAAGTATCATTTTATTACCATTCTTTCATTCTTATTCCATTTACTATTTTAATTTATATATTAAATAATATTTGTTAATATAAATTAATTTTGTTAATCTGTGTACTGTTGAGCTAGAACATTAATTAAAATGAGTTCACATATTTATATTTTTGTTTTAAAACATAATCAACAAACAAAAATTGATCAATCTTTCAATATGAAATATCTTTATAATACACGATTTTAGATAAATCAAAATCTAATTAAGATTACATTTATCATATCAAGATATAGTTTAAATCATATTTTTGTAGCAAAAGTATATTCGTCTTTGTAAATGCTACAAAAATGACATAAAGTTATTCAAATATCAACTCTCTATTTGTCTGATCAAACACTTGTAATTTAATATAGCAAAAACCCACTTTTAAAAGAAAAATCAAATTCTATTTTTTTTTTGGTCAAACTTTAAAGCATCAAATTCTATATAATAAACATAATATTGATCTGAAAATATATAATAATACCTTAATTCTTCTAACCAAATAAAATAACTTTTGTCATCATCTTTAGCTCTATTTTTGTTATATAATGGTTGTTTCAAATCATATCTGAATTTTTTTGCCTTCTAGTACTTTTAATTTTTATAAGTAATATGTATAATATTTGTTTAAACAATTAATCTTTGTAATAATTTACAACAAACAATGGTGATACAATTATTATATAATAATAATTAAAGTGTTCTTTAAACATGAATTTATTTATATTATATGTAAAATAATATTTTATTATTAATTTTAGATGGTTTTTATATAACTGAAAGTGTTATTTTCAATTATTTTTATAATTTTTTATATTCTACATAATTTTCTTATCTTTATTAATTTTATTAGTTAATATAACATTAGAATTTAAAAAATTTCTTAATAAATCGGAAAAAAAAATAACTAACTTAAAAAAAATATAATTAATTGCAGAAAATGATGTGGACCAATGATTTTTTATAATTTATATAATTTTTAATAATATTTTTATTGTTAATAGAAAAATAATATATAATTTTTATACTTTTTAAACTCGTTTTGTTAATGATTATCTAAAAATTTAGAAACTTTCTTAATAACAATTTAAATAAAATTAAATAATTTTTAAAAAATTTACGAATAACGATAGAAACAAAATTAATTAATTTACATATATATAATTAACTATAAATAATAATGTGTACCAATAGAAATGAATATCTTATGTGGACCGTTAGAGGTATTTAGCATTATTAAATCATGGACATGCAGTTATGGGACACGTGTCGACTACATTCTTGCATCACCAGACTCACCTTACGAATTTGTGCCGGGCTCGTATTCAGTTGTTTCTTCCAAAGGTACTTCTGATCATCACATAGTGAAAGTCGATTTAGTTATAACCAAAGATCGGTCTCGAGGAAGCTTCAAACATTCTCGCAAGAAAGCAAAGCAGAAGATCTAATTTGATGCCGGAAAGATACATGTAAATTAGGAAATCTGATGTCTTTATAATGTCTAGCTATAGAATTTCTCTTGTTTATATGAATAACGTTTTATTCTAAAGTATTAACAATATAGCATTCAGTGGTTACAAAGAACTAAATAAATGTTTTAAGCTATTAACAATGGTTTTCTTTTATAATCTATAACAAATCTTGGCAAAGATCACAACAATATCGTTGAAACAACAGAACACATCTCAGACAGAGACAGAGTTCTTTTTCTTGGTCTCCTCCTCCTCCTCCTCATGACTAGCTGGAGCGTACCCGAGTCCACTCCGTTTACTCGGAAATATAGCGAAGATAGCGGCCGAGGCAACGCCGACGGCCGGAGGCAAAGCCATGACCAAAGTCTTTTGCGTTTCCCTAAACTTGGGATAAAAGCAGCTCGCGGTATTAGCGTCAAGCAGCACCAGTGTCCCAAACACAGCCGCCACGAAAACCGCGTGGACGAAATCAGCAATCCTAAGCTTGTACTTGGACAAGTCCACGGATCCTGGATCAGCGTATGTCCAAAGACCTTTCTTGGTGACTATACCGAACTTTCTTGATCCGTCTGTGCCTTTGAAACTATCGGTGAAGCATGAGAACACGCAGGAGAAGCTGCAAAGAGCGACGAGAATGCTTGACATGACCTTGTTAGTTGTGGTGCATTCACCGTCGTTGGTAAGGACAGGGTTGAGTAAAAGGTAGATGAAGAGTGTTCCTGTTGGAAGAAGCTTTATGAGACTCTCCAGGCCTGTGAGGGATTTGTTTGCCATTGTTTCTGATGAAACTGGAGGGTTTGTTTTGGGTATGAGCAAAGGAGAAGATTCGGACATGGGATGATTGAATCTCGAGTTAGATGTATAAAATATAAAGTTTGTTCTTGGTTTAATGCGTATTTATAGAAGAATTAGGGATGATATATAACCCATTGATCCGGTCCGAGATGTTGGGCTTAACACCGTAGAAAAAAATGGTAGTGAACTTGACCAAGTCAAATTATTACGTTTGTTTATAAGTCTACACACGAAGACGCAATAATGGTCGAAAAATAGTTGATTATTCTTTCCTCCTTAAGAACACTAGAAACAAAAGTATTTAAGTTTTGGACCTAAAGGAGAAGAAATTTCTAATGTTGAAACACGTTTGTTTATGATATCTTGACTGAATCTAAATAGAAGTTTCTTTTGTGTCCGAAAATTTCGTTAGACTATTGGGTTATAATTCTTGAGGTTGACATAACACGGTTGCAAAAGGATACAACGAGTTTGATCGTCTTTTTGTTTTTGTGTGTTTAGATGTTTAAAATGCTCCATTTACAACTTTACATTCAAGTAAGAAGCGAGATTTTACTTTTATGTCACTAAACATAATTTATAAACGTGAAACGCAAATTGATTCAAAATATGAGCTTGAATTTTTTTTTTTTTTTTTGTGCTTGTTTGTTTTTCCGTTTGCGTTCACATTTGTGTTTATATGTTAAAATAATGTGTTTATTTTTATATGAAAATGCTAAGAGAAATTTTTATGCGTTCTGTAAATGATATTTGACATAGAGTACATCAAACTTTCTGATATTTAACAAAACGCAAACGGGAAATGAAAATGAAAAGACAAATTTCAGTGCGTTTGTTGTTTACATTTATAATATGTAGATAAAACTTAATTTAAAGACATCATATTTGTTTTACGAAATATAAAAATTAGTATTTTTATATGTAAAAGCACATACAAATATGCGTTACAATCAAATATTATACCATTTGAGTTTAGATGTCAAACATGCTTTAATTTACATAGAAAAAAATATAACATTATTAGTTCATTTCTTTTACTACATCACACGAAAGAAACATAAACAGAAGCAAAATACTACAGTTTGATTTTGTGTTTGCGTTTGGATGTCAACATGGATTACTTTTACAATATATGATTTTAAATATAACAATTAAACGCATTTTTGCCTTTGAAAAGATGAATTAATCAAACTCCTAATTAACACATACTGTATGTGACATACACAAGATAGAATCAACACCTCATTCGTTTTACTTGTGTAAATAGAACTTAACCTGAAATTTGCTATGAACCAACAAATGGAGTATCTCGTCATGCATGTTCACCTTGTATTTATTTCGGGTAAATAAGAAATCACAATTGGCTGCTTCTACAGCGACTTTTATTTTTGCTTTATACATTTTAAATTTAAATTGGCTATTGGTTGATAATTTTCTTATATTTAAATTGCATGGAGGTATGGGTGACCAGGGTGAGTGCATATTCTTTCTTGACTTTTTACGTAACTAATTAGGAAGCACGGTTTAACTTTTACGGAGATAATATTGTAAGATAGCAAATTGATAATAATATTTGAAAGGTCCATTAGTGATGGAGCAGCCTCTAAGACGATGGATCCATTATCACGAAAAATCCACTAATAATCTTGATTAGTTAGTATAATCAATTTTGTGCCATTGGTTCAAACACATCGTACGTTTTTGCATGTCCCATTCATCATGTGAGGCGTGTCAAAATGGAGATCTTTACCCAAATGTACATGAATTCAGTGATACTAATTAATATACTATTTTTAATTGTGACTTGACGTGTTGAAAATACAAATTATGTAAGGAAGAATGCGACATTTACTATGCATGGGAAAATAGATAAGAATGGTGTGTATGAGGATGTCTGTGAAAGTATTGTTGGAGTGACGGAAAATCACAGAAACGTGACAAATGATTAATGACATAGTTGTTGAAGAAGATTAGTTTGTGTGCTTAAAATATACCGAAATATGTTAAAAATCTCATAGAAAAAGTATATAGAGAATATGAGCCGTTGCATTTATCGTAAGTTGGTATTGAAATACATGAATCTTGGCAGCGAAAGGTTTATGGGTTGGTTTGCGTTTAGAATGTGGCCATATGATTTGGTAACATACCAAACCGGTTTGGTTAACCCATAGTTAGGGAAAGTTAACTCCACTAAACACATTACCTATTGCTTTAACTGATCTTGTCCCTGCATTGATAAAAAAGGAGACACTGTGCTGAGAGAAGTAAAAGGGTTAGACAACTAGAGAGTTGGAAGAAATCTATAGATGGTGGGAAACTTTTGAGAAATCATATAATTGAATTGTGACAAGTGAGATTACTTTCCATTTGTTATTTCTCGGCCAGTTCCGAAATAGTTTCATCACTTAACCGAGATGAGGTATATTTTATCGATGACTTTTGAATTTTTCTTACTATTCAGAAATCAAATAAAAAATATATCCAAAGATTACAAGATAATCTTACAAAATGGCCAAAAAGATGAAAAGAAATTCGTATATAAATTAGCTGTACTCCAGCACATTGGACGAGATATCTATAAAAATTAGAAATTGCATTTTGTTTGGCTGTGGACAATATCTACAAAGTGTTAGGCCTGCCTACTTATACAAAACATTTGCTTAGCGCCACTTTTATGTTATTTTGAAAGATACATTAGGTTTTTTATGTTATATAAATTAGGTTTTTTTTTGGGGGGGGGGGGGGGGTCTCAATTCCATTTGTGATTTATATTTACCTGAAGTGCATATATTTTTAGTGGAATTAAAACGAACTATTTTTATTTTATTTTATTTGTTTAAGATCTCAACAACGCTATAAACGAACACCTATACATTACGATTTTGTGAACCATCGTTGTAAATAAACCCAACCAATCAACGAATCATATATATGAATAGGGAAGAGTCCTCTCTAGCATTCCACCACGTCAGTATTTTAGATTAATTTAGAAGTGACAAGTGGCTAACTAAAATTAAAACAATCCAATAAATAATTATCATTAAATAAATTTAATTATTTAGATATAAAACTGTATTTTGAGAATATGAAACATCTATTTATTTATGATTTTAAATGATAAAACTAAATTGAATTTGAACTAAAAGTAATTCAAGATATAAAAAAATCAGAGAAAACTATTTCTTTGTATTGTGAAAAATAAAAAAAGATTTTTCAAAGCAAATTTTAGCACAAAAAAAAACTGACAATGGTGGTGGAACTCTGACGACGAATGAACCAATTACATAACAAATATATATATTTATTTAAAAATAGGATATAGTTATAATTTGAAGATAAAAAGAATATACAGAAAGAAAGAAAACTATTATTTACATGATATGTGTAATAATTCTATTTAATGGTATTTCAAAGTTAAATAAAAAAATAATAATTATTAAAACAAGATCATAATTATGTTTGATAGGTCTCTCCAAAAATAGTGTATAATGTTATAAATTAATTGATAACATAAATTAAAATATACAAAATATAGCTTTATACAAGATAGAAAAAAAAACTCAATTATTATTTACAAAGTAATATTGTTTGTGAGAAACGGCTTTTTTACAGGGATGTGTTTGTTCGTCCGAATAGTACAGCTGAGCCTCTTAGATTAAGTCTCGAGGTTTGAGCGGTATACACTCCGTGGACAAGAAATTTTTTAGGTCCTACAAACATTCACAGCGGGTGAATCGGGCCTTTAGGAGACTGAAAATAGATTTCCTTCCCGAAAGTTCTCTGATGCTTAATTTAGATTACATCCCGCGGTGAACAGATAATCAGGAAGGTGGATGGATGGTGATGGATTTATAGTTTGGATACCCCGTCTGAGGATCGTGATACTCTTATGTCATTGGTAAAAGGGAATGTGAAATGTATGAACCATTGAGAGAGTGGGAGTGGAGCTCTCTTTTAATGGGATAGAGAAGTGAATGCTTATCTCAATTAGCGCTCCTTTGGAGGAACATTAGAGGATCTTCAGCCTCTCGCCTCTGAGGGATGCTTGGGGGATCTTTGGGAGATCTTTGGGAGATCTTCGGCCTTTCTTCCCCTCTTTGACCTCTTCTTCTTTCCTTATACCCATTTCCCTCTGATATGTTCCGTCCGAGACACGCTTAGAGAGAGTAGCTATGCTACCACAACACATTCATTGGGAAATCCGCCATATATCGAAGAACACTTAGGTAGGGAGTCGTTAGACAAGCATATACACCAAGTTTATTATTTTGGCCAAGCCTACTATCGGCGTATCATTCACTTATATGGTACGGTAAAAATGAATCCAATAAATATATTATATTTGAAAAATTTTATATATATGAAATTCACATAAATATATTTTGTTTATAACAAAATACATTTTATCTAAAAAACCCGCACGTATGTGCGGGTATTAGTCTAATTATTCTAATAAACAAATAAGAATAGTCGGACAAAATCAAGGAAGATCAATCAAATTAATATAACTATAAAAATTTCTAAAAGAGATGCTATCTGAAAAGAGATACATTGAACGCAGGCACTGCATTATAATATATGCTTTCATCAGTTGTAAGTACTACAGTAATTTAAAATTCGAAACAAAAATAGATTTAAATATTAAGAAAAGAAAAAGACAAAAAGAGAGAAGAAGTATCAATGCATCTTATGTCTTTATCACATCTGCGAAGAAAAAAAAACAAGGAGAAGCGGAAAATAAGGGTAAGAAGAGGCGCGAATGGTTTAGACAGTTGACAACACAACCAACTTCCATTTTTCTAAAGTTGATTTCTTTTCTGGATTCTTTCTCTCACATCAAAACTAAAACTGTAGTAATAATAAAATACAACCTTTTTATTTTTCTTTTAAAGAAATGGGGTTTTTGATACGGAGGATTTTGTTCTCATCTTTTAAGTACTGAGGATTTGGTAGACAATTTCTTCCTCCATTATTGACAGATAGAAACAGAGGAACAAGGAACAAACAAAAAAAAAACAAAAAAAGATTGAAGATGGAGTTGGTTCAGATGCAGAAGAATTTGCAAGATTACACTAAATCACTCTTCTTGGAAGTAAGTTTTTTAGCATTTGAAATGGGGGAAAAAATATCAGGAAAGAAAAAGTTCACAACTATCTTATTGGAAAATAGAATTTGGAGAAATGGGTTTTTTAGAGTTTAGGTTTGATTATCTTAAATTAGTATCTTGATTATGGAAAGTTTCTCTGTTTTGGTACAACAAAGGGGATTTTGGACAGCCAGTTCTTGCAGCTGCAACAACTACAAGATGAAAGCAATCCAGATTTTGTTTCACAAGTTGTCTCTCTTTTCTTCCAAGATTCTGATAGGATTCTCAATGATCTCTCACTTTCCCTGTAATCTGAATTACACTTTCTCCCTCTAACCTCCTTCTACTCTTTCTGTCCAAAGCTTGTTTTCTCACTGTTCTTCTGCTTTTCACAGAGATCAGCAAGTTGTAGACTTCAAAAAAGTTGATCCTCATGTTCATCAACTCAAAGGTAGCAGCTCCAGGTAAAAAATGGATAAACAAAATAATTACTTTTAATTTAGATCTTATTCTGATCCATACTGATATAAGACTCAACTATGGACATTTTGAGATCATGAAATGAGTAAAAGATTATAACCTCTGGTGGGATGATCCCAGCCATGGAAGTGGGATTTTGAGTTTGGAGCTCTCTTCTTCATTTTGACATTTTTATAATGTGTCTTGTTGCCAAAAAACAAACAGTATAGGAGCACAGAGAGTCAAAAATGCTTGTGTTGTCTTCCGTAGCTTCTGTGAGCAACAAAATGTTGAAGTGTGAGTTTGATCGAATATGTTGTTGGTTGGTCCTGGTCCATTATTATTATTTTCTTTCATTTTAATATCTGATTACAAGGAAAAAAATTGATGAAAATTTCAGATGTCATAGATATTTGCAACAAGTGAAGCAAGAGTATTATCTTGTGAAGAACAGACTAGAGACTCTGTTCAAGGTGAGGACTATTGAATTATGCTATATGTTATCAACATTTGAAACTTTTTTATTTGATTTTGGTTTTCATGATCGAATTTATGCAGATGGAGCAACAGATTGTAGCCTCTGGTGGGATGATCCCAGCCATGGAAGTGGGATTTTGAGTTTGGAGCTCTCTTCTTCTTTTTGTTACTATAAAAGAAGGTTGTTTAACTGTGAACTTCTTCCTTGTGATGTGTTGGATGATTGAAGCAACACTTAACATTATCTTAATGCACAACTAAATCCTACTTTTGTATAATACCGTTACCTGAAAAATTGAGATAGTTTATATGCCTATAAGTGAGTTATCAATCTAATTGTACACATCTAGTAATTACAAACTTCTGATACTCTATGCATCAAGGTCATGTGAACCAGACTGGTTTGTTTGGTTGATGCTAAAGTGAAACAAATGAATTAATAACAATTCTAATTTGATTACAAAGATCCTGGTAACTTTTTCATTAATCAAGTGGAGTCCAAGTCCGATGGGACAATGAAGTTGATCGTTATCGGAATTGGATTCTTTATACATTAAATTTGGAGACTCATTTGCAGCAAAACAAACAGAAAAATAGTAAATGCTGTGTAAAGCTCAAGCTATAAGAACTTAGCTGGGCTTGATAAAAAGAACTTCGCTGGGCCATATGAATTTTAATAGCCCAAAATTATCCGAAAATGGCCCATAAGAAATGGTAATCTAATCTGCTGCAGATATGGTCCCGAAAATTAGACAAATGCTTTTTACAACGAAAAAAAGATAATTTTTTAATCGAAAATCATTGAGAGGGTTTACTAATTAATCATGTGAGCGCACGTCGTTATAACATATAAATGACAAAATTATTAATTTCTTGTATGTGGCCCGTGAGTCTGTGACCTGTACCAAGAAAAAGGAATGTACTATTATGATCCATATGCATGTAATTTCTTGGATATGCATGCCTCCAAGAACCTCATGTTTGACATTTTTTTTGTTGAAATTGTTTTATATATGCGTTTGTTAGACTTCTCTTTCTTTGTCTGTCCTCTGTAGCAAAGTCTAGCTTTTATTTGCTTCAACTTCAATTTGTTCTTATTCAACTTTAGTAGTTCCTTTCAATTTAGAATTCATTTTTAATCTGTTTTAAAACTGAACATTTTGTTTTATGACTTTATCAATTCACTTTTCTCATTTTTTTCTTCTAATTTTTTTTTTTGGGTGAACAACATAATTATAAATATCATAAACGACTCACAAATCCAAACTGATACTAACTAAGTTCACACAGTAAATCTGTGTTAGCAGTAATGATGCAACTATATATATAGTTGATAATAAAATAAATAGTTGATATCATTTTCTTACACCAATTTGTTTTGTATATATCACATTTTTTTGTGTGGAGAAAATGAAATCTAATCTTTTATTCCAACGTTACTTAGATCAATAAAAAATGAACATTAGTATGTATAAACCAAATTTTCGTATTATTTTTAGTTTCACAATAATATAGAATACGATAGACCAGATTAATTTTATTTTGTATAATATCCCAATAAGTATAAATGAAAAGTCTTTAGATACGCATTCTCTGTGTTCAAAACATGCAGAAATATCCTAAGGGAAGCATGTTTCGCCGAAATCGTAGCCCACATGCATATATACGTATACAGGACGACTAAATAAGACACCCGAGGTTGACCGAGAGACTTAATAACAAATTCCTTTTTTTTTTCTCCGTTGACTAGTATAATTAATCTTAACATTTTAGATAAAAAAATATCCACTACATATTATTTGATTTGAAAAGTAACATTATTGAAAATAGCTGATTTGTCAATACTACAGCCAAAGTTAGTACTTTTAATTAATGACATATAAATGTGACATGTCAAACTTTCTAAAATAAATAAAATATTTTTATTGGTTGAGCTAAAATTAAAGAAATTCTAAAATTAAAACAAAAATACATTATATACATTAGATTATATTTATAACACTAAAATTAATAAATTTAAATTCACAGAAAATAATAATTATTATAATTTCAATTTTTTTACATATATTCATAATTTCATAAAATATAATTACAAATTTTTTCAACAATATATATATTGCAATTTCATATAAAAGCAAAAAAATAATACTAAATATTTAATAAAATAATACAAATTCTATATATTAATAATACTTGAAGTATGATATATTTTTATTGTGGAAAGATATTAATTTACAAAATATAGTAATAACATCTAAACAAGTTTTAAATAAACAAATTACTAAATAATACAAAATACAATAATGATAAAAATAATTTAAAGAATAAAATGTTAAAAATAATAAAAAATAATTAACTTTTATTGAAATTCTTTTTAAAAACGTAATATAAAATAATTTTCCTTTTCAAACCAATATTTACTAAATGAATAAAGTATATACTAATTACTATTTTATAATATTAATAGGACCATATATTTTTCTATAACTTTTATCATCTTTTTATTGTTGTTTTCTAAAATGTACATAACTTATGTTACTATTTTATCTTATCATTTATCATATTTTAAATAAAAATAATATTTTATATCACATTCACACATATATATATATATATAAATTTATTTTCATTGTATATCAAAAATCTGAAATCATAAATGAAATAAAAAATAATCGAACGAAAGAATAAATTAAAGTAAGATGAAACAAATATGAACAAGAAATAAAAAAAATAAAAGTATATAAAAATAAATCTCTCGCACTTTGTTTTACAAAGTCACTTAAAAACTTTTTAACACATAAGAGCCATATCTGGATTTTTTTAACAAATACGCGTACAAACATAAATATTAATTAAGAATTAGTTGAAGTCACTTAAAAAGTTCGCATGTATTTTGTTAAGCTTGATTAGAGTCTAATTTTCATTTTAATTATTATAGAATTTATATTTTTAATTTTTTTTTATCTATTCTAAATGTAGCGAAGTAGTTGTATGTCCGCACATGCGTGCCAACCATCTATTCGCTCTTAAGAATAAGTAAAAATAGTGAAAATAGTAATAACTATTTCAGCTTAATTTACAATAAATCAAAAAAAAATATATACTTAAAATATATTATATATGTATTTGCAAATTCATATTATGTAAGACTCAAAAAACATATATACAAACATACAAATATTTAAGAAAACTAATAAATATTTAAATATTACAATTAAATATGTATATCAAAAATATTATATCCGCACATATGTGCGGACAACCACCTAGTACTAGTGTATATCATTACGAGCGTCGTTAATACAAAAAAGTATAATTACGAGTAGCTATAGTCCTAACTCAGTTACGAATTTACGACTACTTAAGAGTCACATGAAACACATGCATGATGATGTGTGGGGTTATATGTAGAGTTACGTTACGTTACGTATATGTTTGTGTGGATGTGAAAGTACGTAGAATGTATTTTCATACAAATATATATATATATATATATACACAGTTAATTAGAGGTGTTGACCACAACACTTTGTGATTGACCTTTCTCAGGTTTCTAGTAAGCAGATCGAGAAAGAATGTGAAACATGCAGAAGACTTTAGTGTCTTTATAAATATAAAATTTATGATGTGTTTTTATCATGTTTTATAATAGCTAGCCTTAACAAATGTTTAATATCAATTAAATATTTTTTTATCTGAAAATAATCTCTTAATTAATCGTACTAAACCTAGTTTCGGACAAAACTGATGATTATTGGAATAACTTTTTTATAGGAGATATATAAATGATACGTGACATTATGGTGCATGTATTGTTTTTTTTGGTGGGTATGGTGCATGTATTGTTACGTGAATGGATTGAGATTTTATAACATGAGATGTAAATTCTTACAAAACAAATAAAAATGTTATTGTGATTTGTAGTAATATTCTTTTATTAATTTGTATTTACAATTTACTAATGATTTTTGTTATGAAAAAAATATTGCACTCTCTTTTTGCAGGGTTAGACTGGTAACATTTTATTACAGAAATAAATCTATATTGTTATAAAGTTTTTGATAGTTATCAATCACAAAATAAAGAAATTAACGGTAGAAAACAATACCACTATTTACTTTTACCGCTATTTCTTACCAGACATGGACTAAAAGGCCAACAGTGGGACAAGTGTAGTATCCGATATTCGACTGTTATGGGATATGAATGAATATATTCATGTTTAGATGATTATAAGGAAATCTGTAAAGACGGTGAAAGCACTACAAAAATATTGATGTGTTGTAGTATCGTTTATTTTAAATATTTGTATTAATTATAATTAATATAAATAGATTTTATATTACTTGTAAAACTAGTTTTGAATGTATTGATGCAAATAATTAACATCAGTTAGTCATCAATTGATGTAAATATATTTTATTTTGCATCAATTATTAAAATCGATATCAATATGTGTCTATTACAAAAATTGATGTTATCGTTTAGATCAATTTTTATAAATAATATAAATATTTATGATAATTATAATAAATGATATTAAAATTATTTTATTTAATATTATAATTATATATCAGATGTTAAAAATAATTTAAATATATAATTATTAATTTTCATAACAAAATTATAATAATAAGATTATTTCAATCCTTCTTACCAAAAAAAGATTATTTCAATCCAAAAATTGATGCATCAATAATTTTTTAATAGATTAAAAATCTAAAATAATCTTATTAATAATTAACTATAATTATTAAGTTTAAATATATATAGCCACATTTTTTCTTTCATTTTTAACAAAGTAACGAAGCAGGACAAAATACAAAATGTTAGTTACATCAGTTTTAGCCTAATATAAAATTTATATTATTTTTTAAGTGATATTATAAAAATTATTGATTATATTGATTATTTAAATGATGTAAATTCATAATTTTATATTAATTTTGTTTAAATGATGTAAACTAATATAAACTTGTATCAATTTTATTAAACTGAAGCTAAATAATCAATAAAAATATCAGTTATCATAACTGATGTTAAATTACATATTTTGTATTATTTATTAATAAATAATTTAAAATTAATATTATTTAATTTTATAATACTATTTAAATAATGTAATTTACCTTTTTGTTTTGTTTGTAGTGAAGAGATCAAATTTGTTGGAAATAAAAAGAAAAGTTACAATTTTAAATATAAAAAACAACTGTACATCAATAGCTATACCAACGTGGATGTTGGACTACGTGAACCAATCACAATCTTAATTGAAATGTTATAATTTTTCTGTTTTTAGAAATAATCAGAATAATAATAGATTTTATATCTATATAAACACGAAGTTTGCTTTCTAGTCTTTTTATTTCTCTTCATTCTCTGTATATGTTATCTATTCTCCACCATTGTTGCCACCCCCACCACCATTAATCACCATCGCGAATCGTGATATGTGACATATGTCTAGTCAATAATTAAAAATCATTTAATATTTCCATTTTGAGCTCTGACTCATTTATATTAAGAATATATGTTCCTATAAATTGGGTAATAAGTTTAATAATTGAAAGTTATAGGCATCACCTTTAGCTCCTCCTCTCCTGTATCTTGAGCAAAAGTTCTCAAATGGCTCTCTCTGCATTTGGATTTCCTTCTTACGTAAGCAGAGAAACTTCAACAAACTATCGCAAATCTACTTCCCTATCTTCTTCTCCATCTTTGGCTACATATTTTCCATCACTCTGCCCGAGAAGTACAGTTTCTCTTGTAAGTTTTTTTCTTCTTCCTTTTTTGAATTTTTGATTATTACATGAGCTTGCATTAATGGATATCCTGCGAATTATTAGTGAGAAACCAAACCACTGTTGTTTCTATGGTTTTTTGTTGTTGTTCATTTTAAACATGTGAAGAAAAAAGCCAAGGAAGCAGATTGTTTTGACTATTTGGTCAAGAAAGTGTTCACTCTGGTGAATAGAAATTTTGGAGCTTAGTTTGAGAATGTTGAATCTGTTTAAGAATTTTTTTTTGGATTTTTTTTTCACTCGTCAAATTTAAGATAAATTGTTTAAATTCATCCTGCATCTTGTTTGTTTGTTCAGTCAAAAATAAGGACAATAGTATATGGCTCACTTGTAGAGAAGGGTGAATATTATTCCAAAAGACCACCAACTCCTTTATTGGACACAATCAACGATCCAATCCACATGAAAAATTTGTCCATCAAGGTATAATTCTTAACCTAAAGCTTGTTGTATCCATATGTTTACTCTCTAGACTTTGTTTTGTCTCAAATAAATAAACAAAAATGCAACGATTGAAAAAAAACTGATGTAGGAACTCAAAGTTCTTTCGGACGAGTTGAGATCTGATGTAATCTTCAATGTTTCGAAAACCGGGGGACATTTAGGTTCCAACCTCGGTGTTGTTGAGCTCACAGTGGCTCTTCATTGCATCTTCAATACTCCTCAAGATAAGATCCTATGGGATGTTGGTCATCAGGTTGGTTTGTTTTGTTTGTGATGTTATATTCCATTTTAAGCAAAAACGTTTTGCTTAAGCTTCACAAGTTCTGACTCTCTTTTTTTTTTGTCTCTTACATAGTGTTATCCTCACAAGATTCTAACGGGGAGAAGAGGAAAGATGAAGACATTGAGACAAACCAATGGACTGTCCGGTTTCACCAAGCGAGGAGAGAGTGAGCATGATTCATTTGGCACTGGACATAGTTCAACCACAATATCCGCAGGCTTAGGTAACGTTTCTTGCTTTCGTGACAAGAAAGAAAGTGGTTCAAAATGAGTAATTATGATCTTGATTGTGATATTAGGGATGGCTGTGGGAAGGGACTTGAAGGGTAGGAACAACAACGTGGTTGCGGTTATAGGCGACGGTGCCATGACAGCTGGTCAGGCTTATGAAGCCATGAACAATGCTGGCTACTTAGACTCCGACATGATTGTGATTCTCAATGACAACAAGCAAGTCTCTTTGCCTACTGCTAACTTAGACGGACCAACTCCACCTGTTGGAGCTTTGAGCAGAGCTCTTAGTAAGTTGCAGTCTAATCGTCCTCTCAGGGAATTGAGAGAAGCTGCCAAGGCAAGTGATGATACTACGCTCTTGCTTGTGCAGAAAAAATGATTTTTTTTTGTGGAATATGAATATTAGTATAATGTTTTTACAGGGAGTGACAAAGCATATTGGGGGATCAATGCACCGGTTAGCTTCAAAGGTCGATGATTGTGCTCGTAGAATGATTAGTGGAGATGGTTCAACATTATTTGAAGAACTTGGTCTCTACTATATTGGTCCAGTTGATGGACACAACATAGATGATTTGGTCTCTATTCTTAAAGAAGTGAAGAGCACAAGAACCATAGGACCGGTTCTTATTCATGTAGTGACTGAGAAAGGTCGAGGTTATCCTTACGCAGAGAAAGCTGATGACAAGTATCATGGTAACAACTGATTTACAAAGATAACGTATTTTTCTTCTTCTATCTTGAATATGCATTCTTGGATTGATCCATCTTTCTTCTTCTTGAATGATCTTTCTTCTTCATGAATTTGCATTCTTGTATTGATCCATCTTTCTTAATCTTGATTCAGGAGTTGTGAAATTTGATCCAGCAACGGGTAAACAGTTCAAACACATTGCTGAAACTCAGTCTTACTCTACCTATTTTGCGGAGGCCTTGATTGCGGAAGCAGAGGCAGACAAAGATATTGTGGCCATTCATGCAGCAATGGGAGGTGCTACCGGTCTGAATCTCTTCCAACGCCGTTTCCCTACAAGGTGTTTCGATGTCGGTATAGCAGAACAACACGCAGTAACTTTCGCTGCTGGTCTTGCCTGCGAAGGCCTTAAGCCATTTTGTGCAATCTACTCGTCTTTCATGCAACGGGCTTATGACCAAGTAAAAACCACTCATCTTTGGAACCATCTTTGCTTAGGACTAAACTGATCATGTTTTGTTGTATGTTAGGTTGTACACGACGTTGATCTACAGAAACTTCCTGTGAGATTTGCGATTGACAGAGCAGGACTTGTGGGAGCAGATGGTCCAACGCATTGTGGAGCATTTGATGTGACGTTTATGGCTTGTCTTCCAAACATGATAGTGATGGCTCCATCTGATGAAGCAGAGCTTTTCAACATGGTTGCAACCGCTTCAGCTATAGATGATCGTCCTTCTTGCTTTCGATATCCTAAAGGAAACGGTATCGGCGTCTCACTTCCTCCTGGAAACAAAGGTGTCCCTCTTCAGGTATGATGTTTTATTAATCAAGAATCCAAAACATTTGACATGAACATACAAGTTTTTCATCTTTTTGTTTTTGTGGTTTTGTAATTTCAGATTGGAAAAGGTAGGATACTAAAGGAAGGAGAGAGAGTTGCACTCTTAGGTTACGGATCAGCCGTTCAGAATTGTTTAGAGGCTTCTTCGATACTCGATAAACGCGGTTTGAAGATAACCGTCGCGGATGCAAGATTCTGCAAGCCGTTAGATGTTGCTCTCATTCGCGGATTAGCTAAGTCTCACGAGGTTCTGATCACTGTTGAAGAAGGTTCTATTGGAGGGTTTGGATCGCATGTGGTACAGTTTCTTGCTCTTGATGGTCTTCTTGATGGAAAGCTCAAGGTACATCATTACATTTTGCACATCCTCTGTTTCGTTTGTACTTGATGAACTTGTGAGGTTTTCTAATTTAAATGTTATTTTTATAATGTTGACAATAGTGGAGACCAATGGTACTACCTGACCGGTATATAGAGCATGGATCACCATTGGATCAACTAGCTGAAGCTGGCCTCACAGCTTCTCACATTGCAGCCACCGCACTTAACTTAATCGGTTCACCTAGAGAAGCCTTGTTTTGGAAGTAATGTTGTAATACTCTGGCTTCAACAGAAGGTTGTAACCCGCTTAGATAGGGGAGTTATTAATAAATAAAACTTCCCGCCAATTCTTAAACATCTTGTATAAAGTAAGATGCTCTCTTGTTTCTTCAAAATTTCTCAATAGATTTGCTCTTAAGAAACAGTAGTAGTGGTATACTGGTATTGCTTTTCGGAGTCTGACATTACTTGAAGAAAATCGAACCGGTACTAGACTAGACCGGTTTGTTAACATCCTAACAAAGAAGAACTTTCACTATCTCCAAACCAATTCATTCACATTCAAGAATGTTTTTGTTTGTGGTTTATGTCTTTAAGATTTGAAACTAGGCTAAGAGATAGAACACATGGCTTTTGGATTCTCGTCGCTAAACCACATAAATTTCTCTAACTCCTTATCATTACACCCGAAAACCGACTCATCCCCTAAACCGATCAGTTGTTCCATATCGATCTCGAGAATATTTTCGTCTTTACTAGATTCTTCATCTTTCTCTTCCTTCACTATAATCTTCACTCTTTTGCCTGTCTTCTTCTTGAGTTTCTTCATCAACTTCTTTGGATCAATCTTACCCGTGACCACAACCTTGTGACTGTTCATATCCGTCACAAATGTTTCAACACCTATTCATAAATCATTCAAATGACGAAGTCTTGGAAACATAGTTATGTTATCGTGAAAACCTGATAAAAAAATTGTAAAAAGAAATTAGAAGGGAAGCGTTACTTTGCTTTTTTTTTGTTTTTTTACCTTTGAATTTGGAAATAACTCGAGCGATTTTTCTCTCGCATTCGTTGCAATGCATCGATATACTGAATTCGACATCCATGTACTACAACATATCGAAAAAAATTGTTAACAGAATCAAATATTGTAAGAAAACAATTTAAAGCATAGGACTACGATAAAGACGATGGTGTTTAAGTACGATCTTACTCTGACATTGTCCTTTTTCTTGTCTTTCGTCATCGGTTATGTTTAGTTTCCGACTGTAATTATTTGTCGAAGAGACAAGAGATGCCTCCGCGTCAAAAGGACTGGTTTTTGAATCTTTGATGCAATGGCGGTTCAGATTTGGGATAGTTGACGGTTAGTCCGGTTCGGTATCATTTTCTTCGACTTAGCAAATGCAAATAGAACTGAATTTACTTTAAATTGCCGATTCTTTTACTTCTATAAAACTGTTTTGTTTTCTATTGTTTTTTACCATCAGAATGTATTCATAAATCATCAAAATATATAGAGACAACAAAAAGACAAAACCCTTTTCTGTAAACTGTAACTAGTAAATTTGGAATTGGTGTAACTAAACTATGTAGGCTATGGTTTTGGTCAAAGCTAAAAAAGACAAAAATGTAATTTGAAGTAAAGTGAAACAAATGTTAGAAAACTCTCGACGACTTTTGAAAACTCCATAATTACATAATTTGAAGTAAAAGACAACAACATATTGTACATATACAACCACTTGCTAGTTTCTAATCAATCTAACGAACTGAATCTAAAACAGGGCTTCTTCATAAAAGAGCTTGATCACATTTCCTCCTTTACACTCTACGGCGTTGGAACTCGCCCTTGTCGTCTCTGATCCATGTCGTTGACCGCGTTCTCCTAACATGATCTGTGAAGATACGGTACCTGATACAGTTCAAGATTCACAAGAAGAGACATAAAATGAGATGAGACAAAAGCTTTGTCGAACTATACACGAATCTCTTGTCAGATAACAATACCAACCTCTCATACTCTAGCTTTTGTGTAACTATCCCATTCAGCAGTAACTCTGAGCTATAGACCTCTGTTCCTGAGGAGAAGAAAAATAACAAAGATATAAACCGTAAATTCCCTGTGAAAATTTACAACATAAAGCACCAGGAGTTGTACAGAGCAAACTGTGTAATTCACCTCTTTCCAGAAACGGTATGATCATATCACGATCCTCTTCACAAGATAAGACCAGAAGATTCTCCGGGACCTTATCTTCGCTTAAGGTAGATCTTCCGAGTCTTTCTACAGGCTGGAATTTGTTTTCAGTATGTTATCAGTTTGAGGAAATAAAAAGTTGTGAAGATTATGTTTAGTGTAAAAAGGAGAAGAAATGATTACCATTCCATGAACAGCCTTAACCAAAGTCGTGATTGTGTTTAAACCAGGCTTTGTATTTGGTGTGATAAAGACTTTTTTCCCCTGAAGCAGTGTAAAAATAATGAGCCAAAAAGGACAAAAACACGAGGTAATAGAAAAGGATATTGCAACCAAAATAGTGTTAGATACCTGTAGTAACGGATACTGGCGTGCACGAGCCAAAGAAACCCCCATGTTGAAACCGAACTCCCTCTCCTTCTTTGAGTCTCTGAGTATGAAGAGATCCTCGTCAACATATATGTTGACTTGATCGATGCTTTCAAGCCATTGTGTTGTCACCACTGGCTTCCCTGCAGCGATTGCCTCCAGCATGTTCCTTGTGCGCATAAAGTTATCGGCTATAAAGTGTGTTGCCTCCATCATGGAGGATGCTTCCGAGATATCAAACCTAGCCAATATCTGTTAAGCAAATGCCAGATTGTTAGAAGTTTACTTTTGTGTAGAAGTCTTTGTTCAATTGAGGAAAAATAAAAGACAAGGAATAAGGTCACATAGTCAAAGATAACTTAAAGCAATCATTGGAAACTCAAGTGATACCTTCTTCTGATGCTTGGTCACATCTTCATCAAGATGCTGGCTGAACAAGACACGTACACTACCCAAATCTCTTCTCTTTCTTGTACTCTTTGTCTCGGGAATAGGTTCCACTAATGTTGAGGCTAATCTACGGAAATCCCTTGTAGTTTTTGATGTACGTGAGCCCTTGCAAGAAAGTCTGTAATACTCGTCGCCCATGCATATAGGTGACACACTCTTTGAAGGCACCATCTTAGAGTTAACTGGAGTATCAACAGCTGGATCTGAACTTCTCCCTGTCTCATTATCCTGATCATGCGAAATACGAGCTGATCTTCTCCGCTTGGGAGTAGTCAACAAGGTTGCTTCACCTCTACTTGATTGCTTAAGTAGCTTAGACGTGCAATGTTTGTTTGACAATTCTTCTCGTCCCTTCTCTGTACTTGACACGGTAACTTCATCAGGCGTATCAAGTTTGTCATTCTTCTCACAAGCCTTGGCAAGAACTGATCTAGCCTTCTTGGTTCTTGGTTTCGATAATTCAACATCACTATCCACAGCATGAATCCCATTAAGTCTCTTGGATTTCCTCGTAACAACTCCACGACTAGATATGCCTCCTTCCCGTAGAGATTTCTTACCTGCAAGACACTTTGGCTCAGGATCAATTTCCCTGGCGTCTCCAGAGTGCAGAGCATTGATTGCTTCAGCAGCCATTTGCGTATCAGGGCCTGCTTCTACCTCTTCTCGCCTATCAAACATTCTTGTATTACTCTCCTTGGAAATTTCATCCAAATCATCAAAAAGATTCTTTTTAGTCTCTCGTGAAGTAGTCTGGACCTTCCTTCTCTTCCGGCTGCATGGACCTTCTTTCTCAAGCTGGTTAACCTTTGAAGACCTTTTGATATTCTTCCCGCAAGCTTTAGCAGGACTTGGACTAGCCTTCTTCATTCGTCTTTTCAACAATTCATCTTTACCCATAGCCTGAATCCTCTTTGTTCCCTTAGATTGTCTAGTAATGACTCCACCATCAGAAAACCCTCTCTCTTCTCCCGGTGACAGTTTCTTTCCTGTAAGACAACTCGCCTCAGCATCAACTTTGCTGCGGTCTCCAGAGGACAGAGCATCAACAGCTTCAGCAGCCACTTGTTTATCATACCCTAACGCTATCAAATCTTGCATATCGCATATTTTATTACTACGGTCCTCGAAAACTGCATCTAACTCTTTGCCAAGATTCTTTTTAGTAGCCTGGATGTTCTTTTGGCTCCTAGTCAAACTATGCTGCAACAGTCTGGAATCAGAATGAGCCCTTTTTTTATCCACTGCAACCCCAGTTCCATCACTTTCATGTATCAATTCTCTTTTCTGTTCTCTAGGCAAGGTAGAAGATTTCCGTTCTTTACTTGCAAAGCCAAAGAACTCTTCTTTTCTTCTACGACAGATATCACCACCACCTTCATCCTCACGACTATCATCCCAGTCGAAAATACCTTTCCCAACAGCTCTGGCTTTGTAACTTGCTTTCTTTGCTAATTCTTGGGGGCCTTTTACAGTCGGAACAGATTTCGATTTTTCTTCTGTTCTCCTTCCACAGTCAGCATCAGCTTCAACAGCAAACTCTAGACATGACTCACTAATGAGCTTATCAACAAGTTTTAGAGCATTGGCCTGGGATGCCTCACCAGGCTCTTGAGAGTCAATATAACTCAAACCAGGACAGTTTTCTTCAGGCGAATCATCCTCAAGGAAAAGCTTCCTCGCTGTTTTATTTCCTTCATTTTTCTTTTCGACATACATACTGGGAGAGCATTTCTGGATCCCTACTTCTCCAACATTAGTTTCAAGAAGAGAATTACGTGTTGATACTTGACCAGAAGATTGACAGTTGACTAATGTAGAACAGTCACTGTCGAGAAGATTTTGAGTTGCAACACGAGCTTCCAGAGCAGAAGCACGAAAAGCGGCTGAACGAACTGAAGCAAACCTAGCCACCTTTCCTGGTAAAACAAGAAATTTCAGTGAACAAAATTTCAAACGAGAGAGGTGTTAAATATTGACTAGAAAACTTAAAGCCTCAATAGTTCATCAGACGAACACAAGATAACATGACATGAACTGAACCTAGAAACCAACTTTAGATTCTAACGAGACGCTGATGCAAGAAAAGGACAACAAATATTTCATGTTTTCCTAAACAAACTCTGCAATTTTGGTCAGAAACTCACCAGAGGTTCCATGTTCATTCGTTTGAGTACCAATGGCAGCTGTTGATTTAACGTTTTCATTAGCATGCTCCCTATTATCTTCACTCGACAACAGATTTCCTCCTCTTCTATGCGAGTCATCACAGTCAGAGAGCTCGCTGATGTCCTCCAAGAAAACGGTAACATCATCACCACTATCCGCAACAACTTCATCATCAGAATGATCCACCACCTGCGTAGCCAAGCCATCAGAAGATCCCAGCAACTGTTCCCCCTCTACAAGAGGTTCTTCTTGAGTATCGAATCCCAAACTCACAGCTTGAGTTTCACGACAAAGAAGAAACTCGTCGTTGTCACATCCATTGTCAATGACCTGAGTGTCCGCATATACATCATTGATCCAGGCATCGTCCTCAAAAGGTACAGTGTCCTGCAGAAACTCATCGCAACAATTCCCAAGCCAAGGATCTTTATCTTCGCCTAACATACACAACAACAAACAAGTTCCAAGTAATATTAATCTTAATGCCAGCGAAGTACCAAGGAAGCCACATAAATTTTCCGAAATTCTCAAATTCGATCAATCACACCGTAAAGTCAGGTTTTTTGCAATGAGGAATGAGAAACCCATTATCGGAGAAACAAATAACAGTTAAAAACTAAATCCCAACTCTTGTTGATGTTGAGAAAACCAGATCGAGTAGAGCCAAAAAAAAAAAAAAAATCAAAGCTTTATGACGAATAAACCCTAAAGAGTTCAATGAGTAAATTACCAGAATCAGAAGGCGGAGAGGGAAGAGAATCAATGGGCTGAGTCTCTTGATTCTCGGAAAAGTTGTTCTTCACTTCAGCCATTTCGATTCGCCCACTAACGAAACACCGACAACAGTAATCCCCTTTTTTGTTTTCCAATTCGACGGGATTGATTTCTCGCCGCGACGTTATACGAATGATGAGAGGAGAATTTTGACGGAGGATTGCGATTTTTCGGCTAGATCCCAAAGTGAGAAGAAGAACAGCGAAGACAGTATTTAGGCGCGTAAAGGACAGTAAAGCGTCTCGTTAGGGTTCGCGGGGATAAGTGTTGTTCCCAAATCTGGAGAGAAAATAATGCTGATTGTGTTATATATTTAGTCTCAACTTAACAAACAAAGATGGGCGTTTGGTCTAGTGGTATGATTCTCGCTTAGGGTGCGAGAGGTCCCGAGTTCAATTCTCGGAACGCCCCTTTTGTTTTGCTTTTATTAAAACTTTATCAACCAGATGATACTGGAAAATCCCTTTTTCTTTATTAGAGGAGAAACAGAATACACAGCACGACTTATTTAAATTTGTATCATATATATATATATATATATATATATATATATATATATATATATTTCTTTTAGTCAAACAGTTTTAAATATCGGCTTCAAATTATCTCATTTGTCAAAACTTTAAGAATTTTCACATAATATCAAATTAAAACTAATGGGCCTTTCTAATGGGCTATACATATGTGGGCTACTTTGATGAAAAACAGCTAGGTCGTGTTGACTCAGGTTTTAAATATCGGTTTCAGATTATCTCATTTGTCATAATTTCAAGAATTTTCACATAATATCAAATTAAAACTAATGGGCCTCTCTAATGGGCTATACATATGTGGGCTACTTTGATGAAAAACAGTTAGATCGTGTTGACTCAGGTTTTAAATATCGGCTCCAAATTATCTCATTTGTCATAACTTCAATAATTTTCACATAATATCAAATTAAAACTAATGAACCTCTCTAATGGGCTATACATATGTGGGCTACTTTGATGAAAAACAGCTAGGTCGTGTTGACTCAGGTCAAAACTACTGAGCTTAACCCTGGAGATTTGTGAAGACCCTTTTTCTCCATTTCCACTCTGAACGTTTCAGCTGTTTCCCAACTCTCTGCGTGTGCATACAAGTTCGACATCGACGCGAGATGATTCTCGCTGTCGCCGTTTGTGTTTGTGATGCTTCCTGCAGTCTCGATCATCTTCATCACTTGTTCAGCCATTTCTTTATCCATATGAACCTTGCAGGCACCAAGTAAACCTCCCAACACCGTATCGTTCGGTTCCACAGGCATTTCTCTAACCAACCCATAAGCCTCTTTCAGTTTCCCTGAGCGTCCCATGAGATGAACCAAGCATCCAAAATGCTTCACGTTCGGTCTCACATCTTTTGTCTTCATCTCCAAGAATATCTTCAGACCTTCCACTAGAAAACCCCCATGAACACAAGCACTGAGAACCGCGAGAAAAGTGATCTCGTCGGGCTTCGTGTCTAATCTCTCCATCGACCTGAACATCTCTAATGCTTCTCTGCCTTTCCCATGAATGGCAAGACACGAGATCATAGAGTTGTAACAAGCTACAGTTCTCAGGCTTAACGACTCAAACACCGACGTCGCATTCTCTAGATCCCCGCACTTAGCATACATATCGATCAGTGCATTCGAAACAAACTGATTAAGCTCGATTCCTTTACGGTTGATAAGAGAGTGAACTTCTCTGCCAACATCAAGACGACCTGACTGAGCACAAGCAGACAAAACACTCGAAACCGTTACTGCATCCGGTTCAAACCTTTCTCCTTGCATCCTGTTATAAGCATCAATAGCATCATCAGAGTACCCATTCTTTGCATAACCATTGATCAAAGTGTTCCAAATCACCAAATCAAGAACCTTGTTGACACGGTGAAAAATAGCTGTAGCCTCACGCACATCACCTATTCTAAAATACCCGGAGATCATCAGCGACCATACAAAAGAGTTCTTCTCCGGAATCTCCTCGAAAAACCTCCTTGCAGCCTCCATTTCTCTGTTACTAACGTACGCTCCAAGCATCACCGACCAAGCCTTCACAGTCTTCAGCTCGAGAGGCATTCTCTCGAACAATTCTCTAGCTTTCTCGGTATCGTTTCTCTTCCCGTACCCTTTCATCATCTCGATCCAAGTCACCGTATTTCCACTACCCGAAACCTGTTCGAACAATCTAGCGGCCGACTCTGCGTCGTCGTTACCCATATACCCACCGATCATAGCGTTCCAAGTAGCCACGTTTCTCACAGGCATTTCATCAAACACTTTGCGTGCAGAGAGTATACATCCCCACCATTTGCCATACGTGTTGATCAGAGAGCTCCCCACCATAACATCAGCGCAGATACCGAACTTGATCGATTCGGAATGCAGCAACTTCCCGAGAACGACACATGGAACGCAAGCGCACGCCTTCAAAAGCAGAGGAACCCATCCCGGAAAAAACACTCCTTTGCGGCGAATTCCTTGGTACAAAAGCAGAGCCTGTCTTGGTGATCCTGTAGAAACATGGTTCTTTATCAGATTCGAGACGTGAAACTCACCAAACGATAAATGTTCCTCCAAATTCATCATGACCGGTGTGTGTGTGTGTGACCAAGAGAAGAGAGTATAGAGAGGGAGATTTTTTTAAATAATAGTATAAAATTTCTTTCAATTTGGAATTAGTTATTGTTTTCTAATAAAGAAGAATTAGTTATCATGACCGATTCTACGAGAGTTCGATAGATACTGCATAACTCGGGAACTCAGGAGGACCTTTCGAAAGATTCAGTGTAGAACAATAGTGTCGACTATCGACGCAAGATTAAGAGTTTACATTTTTTACCCCCCAAAAATAGTATTTGCATAAAACACCCACCCACCCACCCACCCACACGTGTGAAAAGAAAATTGGCCAAGAATCCCAAACTTGGAATAAATTTCTATATTTGGATGAGTTTTAAGTTTTTAACTGTAAGGTCATGTTCCTTTTGTGTACTTAAAGCTTCTGATTAACACCAAACGACAACTTCCCATTTAACATATGCTGAATTAAACTTTCTTCGTTCTTTTTGGAATATTTATTTCTAAGACCATGTACAACGCAGTCTCTTAAGATCGATTCTTAAGAGAATAATATATTGAATTAAATGAAAATTAAATTAAAAAAGAAGAATCGCCTCCTAATTAAGGGTTGTAATCGGATTTTAGTGAGTACGTGTTGATATTTGATTGGGAAAAAATTAAAACGACAAAAAAAACAAAACTTACGAAATCATCTTTCTCCTTTCTCTCTCTCTACGCCTTCTTCTCTGGTACGATTAACTGTATTTTCTTTGATTTCTTCAATTTTTCTCTTTGATTGCTTCCCTTTCTCTCCTTCTATGATGCTATTCAATGGATTCTCCTATAATGTCTGCTTTCTTTTCTCTCCAATCTTTCTGTGATTCCGGCTTTGAAGAATCTCGAAAGTTATTGAGAAGTTGATAAAGGAATTTGCCAAATCCCCTTAAGCAAATCATCCAAAGGTTCGTGATTTGATTGATTGTTTAGCATTCATGATTGAATTGCATGTTTTATATTATGTACAAGCATTTAGCTTTCGATATTGGATCTTTTTTTGCCCTTTTATTTGTTGACGGAGCTTTTGATTCATGATCGGTTTTCGTTCATTGCATTGAATTGGGTTCGAATTTCTACTATTATTTGGTATATGACAAACAGATCTCGGTCAGATTGGATCTCCGATTATAATTTGAGATCGAAATTTTTGTATTAATATGGATGAATTGCAAAGGCACTGATTTCCGATTTTGAGTTAGGAGATGCTTGGAAATATTTGGTTTCACAGGAGTCTTTATGTTTCATTGATCTCTGGATTTTTCTACGATCTGATATTGATGATGCATTGGTGATTTTGGTTAGATAAGGCACTGGTTTGATGGACCATAACAGACGAGTACAAGTTACGGACCAATGTTTTAGTTTTTGAGTATCATATTGAGATTCATCTGTAAGATTTTTAATGTAATTTGTGTGTTAACATTACAGGAATGGAAAAGGGGAAATGAGTTTAAGAAAATGGAAGATGAAAACTTAGCGAAGGACAAAATAATAGAGGAGCAGAATAATCTGATAACGAAGCAGATTTCAAAAGGTGCCAGTAACTCACACAGGTTAACTGTCAATGTTCTTGTTCTTTTTTTTTCTTCTTTATGCTTAAGTAATCATCAACTTTGGATTGAACTGGATTTTTTTCTTTGAAGGATGCGTTGAGGATGCTCACTGGCATCTTAGGAAGTTTGCCAGAACGGAGAATTTTGTTAAGCCAAATAAAAAGAAGTCTAATTCAGTGGAGGTACGTTTCTATGAATACTGGTTCATGAAAGCAATGTATTTAGCTTAGTTTAGTTATAGATGAAGTGTTGTGACTGTGATTGTGATAAATGCTTGTTTGTGTTAGCTGGTAATAAATGCTTGTTAGTGTTAGATTATGGTTGTGACCGTCATGAATGGTTAGTGATGAATGCTTCTTAGTGTTAGATGTGGTTGTGATGAATGCTTCTTAGTGTTAGATACATGTCAACCACGATGTAAATGTAGCTGTGTTTAATGCGAGCACTTGAACTACTGTCCTTCTCTTTCTTTTCATCTTTTAAACCAGTTGCTTCTTCTCTTTCTTTTCATCTTCTAAACTCATTCCTTCTTCTCCTTGTTATCATCTTTTAAACACATTTCTTCTTCTCTTTCTCTCTTCTTTGACATTTTCGTTTATGGCTTCTAGGAATCAATATAATCAGACCTCCAATTTTGTTGACCTTTTGAACAGTCAACAAGATGTGTCATTCCTGAACCTTTTCCTATGAAAGTTTTTCCCATAATATCGAACTTGGATCATCACAAGTCCCTATCTTTAGTACTCAAAGTACTGAAGATTCTAGCTTCGGTGAAGACACTCCTGCAGAGCGTAGAGAAAGAAGAAAATGGACCCCCACAGATGATGTAGTGCTCATCAGCTCCTGCTTAAACACGAGCAAGGATCCTATTGTAGGCAATGAGCAAAAATCAGGTGCGTTCTGGAAATGCATTGCAGCCTACTTTGCGGCAAGTCCCAAAGTTGCAGGACGAAGAAACCGAGAGCCAAATCACTGTAAGCAACGGTGGCAGAAGATTAATGACCTTGTTTGCAAGTTTTCTGGATCTTATGCGGCTGCAGCAAGAGAGAAATCTAGTGGTCAGAATGAGAATGTTGTTCTCAAACGGGCTCACGAAATCTTCTACAAC